GAGCCCGGGAAACGGCCACGTGTTCTCCGCGCGAGGTTCGCCGTTTCCCTCCACCGGCGCTAAGTGGCCTGTGCGTCGGGAGGGATGAGAAGTGGCTCATTTTTTTAACCCTGATGGATTTACACAAAGACTGTTCTCTCCATTCTCCTAAAACCCAAGCCTTAATTATCTCGATTGCCTGGGGGACCCGCGGTACAGCTGCAAACATCGCACCACACAGCTTTGCTTTATGAAAATGATTTTCTTCCTAAAAGGGCATCATTCCTTTGGCACGCGGGACAGACCGCGCCGGCAGTCCCAGCTCTGTAGCGCGCCGTCCGCACAGGAGGCGGGACTCGGCGGGGAGCCCCGGGCCAGGCTGCGCACCTGGCGCCGGCGTCCAGAGGCCTGGACCTGGCGGGGCTGCCCCTCTCCGAAGCCGGGGGCGGGGGGCTCAACTGGGGGCAGCAGTGGGGCCGACGGGCTCTGGATCGTTTCGGGCTCACTCTGCCCAGCGAGCTCAGGGGGGCACTTGGGAGGCAGCCCCGGGCGGAAGTCGATCCGGGTTAGCTGTGATGGAGAGGAGATCCTGACCGCGGCTTTTTCTCCCAGAACTTTTCTAATCAGGATGGATCTGGCTGTCAGGAGCGGGAGGCCGTCAGAAGTGAGCTACGGCCACGGCGCCTGCCCGGACCGGGAGAGCGGGGGAGCTTGGTGCTCTCAGACTTCTTTTTTTTTTTTTTGGTCTAACCAGAATCAATATTTAAGATTATGCAATGTCCACACCAGCCTGAAGTAGCTGCCAACCCAAGGACAAGGGCTGGATAATTTACAACGTAAGGAATCCATTCTTTGGAGAGGGGATGGGGGGAAAAAAAAAAAATCAAGATTTAAGCTTATCGTGGGCTGAACTTTTCTCCTCCGTTCTTAATGGTGCGGGGCGTAAATAAACCATCCATTTTGTTTTGTGCGGGCGGCCTGCGCCGTGTGCAGACGCCGTGGGCCCCGCAGGCCGGCCTCAGGCCCCTGGCCACAGGTCCGGCCGTGACCGCCTTGCAAACAACACCCCTGACATTTGCAAGGCTCGGTCCCGTCTGTCGAGCCCGATCAAAACCCGCCCCTATGTGTTCCTTTGCACCCCCCCAGTCAGCAGAGAAAGCCTTTTTATTGTCAGCTACTAATGGCTCTTCTGCCCCGTGTTTTTAATGTGAAGATTAAATATTTATAAGCGTCTCGTCGATAGCAGCCCATAAGCAGATCCCCCCGAAGCCGCAGACCCAGGGCCGTGCTCACGCACACCGAGTCAGAGGTCACAGGTCAGGCGAGCAGCCAGCCGCACCGTGGAGAGCATCTGCTGTCACCGGGGCCTGGACGATTATTTACGGGGCTGGGCTTGCTTCTCGGAAGCCCACGCCGTGGCTGGGGGGTCGAGGGGGTCTCCTTTGTCTGCGTGAAGCCCCTCCGGGCCCCAGCGCTTGCCGGGTTCACAGGCTCCTGCCGGTGGCTGCCGGACACTGTCCCATCTGAGGGGTCTGCAGAAGTAAGGGACGCTGGGGTGACACTTCCCATGCCCTGGGAGGACGGGGTGATGCGGATGAGGTCGGGGAGAAGGGACAGGACCCTTAGGGGCCGGCACCCCCACGCCGAGGACCGGGCTCTAAACAGGGAACGTGCCCCTCCGTGCTGCTGGGCACCCGGGTGGGTCCCGTGGGACGGGCTGCAGGTGGCAAGCCCAGGGACGGCGGGGTGGCCGGACCCAGCGGGGGACAGCCTGGACCAGGGCAGCAGCAGAGCAGGCCCCAGGGGGACAGGGCGAGCCGACAGAATGACAGTGGCAGGAGAGAGGGGCACGGCCACCCCAGCAGAGACGGCGCAGAAATCCCGCCGGCGGCTTTTCCATGCGAGGTGCCCAGGCGCCCTCAAAGGCGCGGGTCTCCTCAGCCCAGCGCGGATGTGTCCCAGCAGAGACGTTTCGGCTGGACCGGGGTAGAGGAGCCGGGAGCGAGCCGGCGGTTTCGGGGAAACCCCACCACGCCCCGGAGACCACGGTTCCTGCCGGGAAAGCTCAGGCAGCGAGACTCAGGGCCCATCTTCCCCACGGGGCTGGCGGCAAGACGGAACAGGCTGGTGGAGGTCAGGGCTGTGGCGGAAGGAAGGGGCACACAGGGTCGGGGGGGCCCGGTGGTGGGAGGACAGAGGGGGCTGACGCGGCCCACGTGAACCCCAGCACTGGACACAGAAAACTCCGGAGAAAGAGCGCTAGCGTGGTCTGCGCACCAGACCCTAACCTGAACGCCGTCAGCGCTGGGTCGTTGGCTGAAGGTTCCGCGTTCACCCAATTCCCGGCAACTTGACGGAAAGAAACTGAGGAAAGTCGCCTGGCTCATCCTCCCACCCTGGGCACTCCCCCAAACTGAGGCCAACCCCCACCCCAGGAAATAGCGGGGCTGGCACAGGGGCGGCCGCAGCCTGGAGGAGTGAGCCCTGCCCGGCTCTGGGAGCTGAGGCCTCGGGGGGCTGCAGGAGCCCCAGTCCCTCTGAAGTGGGGAGCCCACCACCTGCTCTGCCCACCCCCTGGGGTCCCTGTGAGTTTCCACGAAATGAACAACGTCCGCACACACAGGAGTTTTGCAAACAGCATCGTGCCACCCCGGTGCAAAGACCACTCTTGTTTCCAAGCACGGAGGACTTGCTGAAGCTTCTTCGGGCTCCTGGAGTCCAGGGGCCACCGTCCTTCCCCCAAACATGCCGGAAAATACCGGAACAGAGCAAGACCAGTGTAAACATCCTCAGACCGAACCGGGCCTGCAACCCCAGCATGTGTGCCTGCCGCCCCCGCCCCACCAAACTACAACCCCCCCAGAAGGCAGGACCCCTGCTCCTGGGGTCCCTTGTCTGGGAACCCCGCCAGAGAGGGACGGAAAGGAACGTGCCACCCTGGACCGTAAATCTCTCCGTCCGGGAGGCTCTTTTCCGAGACAGGCGCGCGGCGGCTAAAACGCCCGTTAATAGTGATCCATTGGCAGAGCGGTATTGATCATCTGCGAGGCGGGTTGGCATCCACCGGGACACACAAAACCGGCGGAGCAGCCTGGGAGGGCGAGCACCCCCGCGGGCCCGGCCGGCGCTGGTAACGGCCGCGGTGATGAAGAACACGGATCGATCTCCTCAGTGCCTCTCCGCGGCCCCAGAGCACTCCAGGCACTTATTGGAAAGTGCCTGAAACCAGATTGAAGACGGGCCGGTGCGGACTCTCCACCCGGACGTTTAGGGCGGCGGAGGGCTGCGCAGCAAGCGCAGAGACACGGCCGGTCTTCAGCCGCCCCGTCCAAGCACTCAGGAAGATGCTTTGCCCTGCCCTGCTCAGTACCGCGTTTCCCCGAAAACAAGACAGGGTCTTATATTTATGTTTCCTCAGGAAGACACCCTAGGGCTTATTTTCAGGGGACGTGTGATTTTCCCCTCAAAGCCTCAGCTCGCAGCGGCACGCACAGGGTGGCCGGGACCCGGCAGGGGGAGCCGAGCTTGTTGGTGGGGCTGCTCGTACCTTTCCGGTCACCTCTGGGACAGCGGCTGTCACTATGGGGCAGAGGAGAAGGGCTGCTCGCCTTCTTTCCCGCTCCTCGACGACATGCACGGGTTGTGCAGATGCGCTGCGTAGCCACGCCCGTCACTAGGGCTTATTTTTGGGGTAGGGCTTAAATCGCGCAAATGCTTAGAAATCTTGCTAGGGCTTGTTTTGTGGGAAGGTCTTGTTTTCGGGGACAAGCGGTAGCTGCAGACGTCTTGCTGGGAAAGCTGAACCGGAGAGGTGGCGCCCCCACGCTGCTGTGGGGGTCACTCATCTCCGGGGTGGGGGGAGATGAGCACTTGCAGACCCGGGCGTGGCGGCTGTGCCCTAACACGACGCACACATATGACCTCCCTGGGGAGCCGGGACCTCCCGGGGGCCACGACCCTGCCCCTGGTATGGTCTGGGGACGGCCCAGCGGTCCCTGTGGCGGGCGCCCTGCGGCCTTGCCGTCCCGGACACCGGGGTGCAGCATCAAGGCACCTGCCAGGCCGCCGTGGAGACGCGCTGGGTGTCACGCACCACACCCAGGCCCTCAGACGACGGAAACACCTTCCTAAGAACCTCCCACTTAGAAGCCATTTCAAACTCTCAGGAAAGCTGCAAGAGCAAAGACGGCCTCACGAAGGGACGAACGAATGCTGGTCCAGCCTGACTCTGATTCGGGGACTGTTGGGGGGTCCCCACCGACCTCCCTGCCCACCCGTGTGCAGTCTCTGAACCGTTTTGGGGGAGCTGACCACGTCACGGCTTTTCGCCCCCAAAGACCCCCCAGGGCGCCCGCCTCTCGAGAGCCAGGTCATCGGTCCCAGGACCCGGGCGTGACGCCGGCTGAGGCAGCCTGGCGCAGGGGCCGCGCCTCCTCCACCGCTCGCTCCCACGTTTTGTCGGTGGGCCCGCTGATGCCCTTGACGACGGTTTTCCCCCTTCTAGTCTCGGGTCCAGCACAGCGACAGGTGCTGCGGTGGATTGCCACGCCCACGCCCCTCTACTCTCCTTTCCCCTGGGACACCCTCACCGTGTGTCACTGTCCCGTCTGCCTTTTCAGAAGAAAAATCCTGCAGCTGCGGGGACACAAGGAGCTGCTCGCCTCTCCCAGGGACGCAGGGACCCGGCCCAGCCTCTGCCCTCCCGCCACGGCGGCATCATTCGGCGCTGCAGGGCTCGGGCCTGTGGCTGCCCGCAGAGGTGCTCCCGCGGCGGGCCTGGGCGGCAGAGGCCGCACCCCTCTCTGGAGCGGGCTCCTGGGCCGCTGCTCCGTGGCTCACACACTCACGGGATAGACCAGGGGTGGGAACCTGCGGCTTCAAGGCCACACGTGGCCCTCCAGGTCCCTCAGTGTGGCCCCTCGACCAAATCCAAACTTCACTGATCAGATCCCTTTATTAAAAGGATTTCTTCTGTAAAATTTGGATTCAGTCAAAAGGCATCGTAGACAGTGCCCCCTGGAGGTGTGCAGGTGCTGGTGCAGCCCAGGGACAAGCGAATCCTGGGCCAGAGCTCACCTGCTGCCAGGCAGGTGACCGCTTCCTGCCTGAGCCGGCCCTGCTGGGATGCCCGAGCGAGTCCCAGGATGCCGACCCGGGTCACGCTGGCCCAGGGCCACCCGGCAAAGACTGCCGTTCAGAGTGATGTTAAAGGAGTGACTCGAAGAAACGGGTGGAGGGAACAGACAATGGTCAGAAGTCCCCCTGGGCATCCTGTGCCTTCTGGGAGGGTCCCCCACGGAGCCCGAGGTACCTGGCCGGTCCTGGAGGACTCCAGGGAAGCCCAGGTGAGCAGCGGCTTCCTGACCCCCCTCTTGCCTTCGGCAACACCTAGAACAGAGAGAGTTGGGGTTGGAATGAATAAGGGGAGGATGGAGGAGGAAAGGGCCTTGGCGCGATGTGGGGTTTGTGGACTAAAGACAGTCAAGGCCTCTGGCCAGGCCTCCGCTGGGCTGTCCCGGCACGCAGGACACGCAGACCCAGGGTCCCGTGCGGATGAGGACCCACCTCCCGAGGAAGACAGGACCCCGACCACCGGGAGTATGCGGAGGAGAGACTGGGCAGCCAGGCTGACCGACCAGGATGGGCACACTGGCTCCGTGAGGCCTGTCCGGGCCTTCTGGGAGCTGTGCTGTGGCCATACAGTGGCCTTGAGGCCTCAGCGGCCAGGGAGGTTCTGAACAACCTCCATCCTCATGCTCTGTAGGAAAGACCCTTTGAAAGAGGTGCTGCTATTAGATTTTCAACAGCTAACTTGCAGGAAGGGGAAAGGGGAGGGCGAAGGGGGGGGACAACGGCCAGGTACTCAGAAGCAGGGCAGGGGCGGGTGAGTAGTGAGGGTAGCAGAGCCACCAGGGAGCCCGGGGTGGGGGTGCAGTCAGCGGACATAAGCCTTGTCCCTGAAGATGCCCCCGCCTGCAGCTGCACCACGGCATGAACCCCTGGGGGAAAAGGGGCTTTGGCGGCTCCACTGGGGAGTTATACTTTCAGGGTTTCCTACCTTTCTGAGCCTCGTCCAGAGGGACGAGGCGTCCTCCGGAAGCGATGTCCCTTGTGAACGTTCCGTGATGCGGAGCCCTAGAGGGTGAAGCAGGGGTTACAAAGAACGACAATGTCGAGGCTCCACCAGGCCCTGGAAAGACCAGCAAAACTGGCGAACGCCTGGCGTGGGTGACTGTTTCCTAAGGCTGCCACAGAAAGTCTTCTCACGTCACGCTCCCTTTGCAGGTGACTCAGCCACGACTATCGTGGGGACCACGTCCCCTTCCCTTGGGTCCCTCTGCCCCGGGGCTTGCTTTGACCAATGCCAGGACATGGTGGAAGTGAAGCCGTGCGGGCCCCAGACCCACCTCCATACGCAACCCCTGCAGCCACCCGAGGAAGCCTCCGGGCAGGGGGGCCACGTGGAAGAATGTGGCGTGGCACGGCCCAGGCGACAGCAGCCTCTCGTGTGAGCCCGCTGTCCCGCACCCTCCTGCCCAGCAGAGGCTTGGGCTGAGCGCCCCGCGTGGGCAGGAGCCACCGGCCACCCCACGGAACTGTGAGAAACAGCAAATTGTCGCTATCATAAATGCTGGAGTTGTTTGTTACGCGGTGACACGTAGCTGAAATGGAAATTCGGGTGCTGCTGTGACAAAACCTTTAGACTCAGGCCCTGGGTGGAGGCTGAAAAGGCGTTGGGCAAACCGTAAGGAAGTGACCGCCAGAGGCTGGAGAAAGACTGACCTGAGTTGAGTAGGGACAGAGCCACGCGCAGGACCATCGCCAGCGGTTAACCTGGGAAACAGAAAACATACACCCAGAGAATTTGTAAATACGGATGAAAGTATTTCTAGGTAGAATGTCGGAAGTGCCAATTAGCTCCCTGTAGCGGTGCAGGAAAAGGTACAGGAGGGGAGTTGAGTGGAACACACACACGCTACTCAGTTTGCAATCAGAATTTAGAGGGAACAGGTAAAAGTCAGGACTTGCTGGTTGAAAAATAAAAGTATTGCACATTTTCAGTTTCAACAGTCAGCAAGATGTTCCTAAAGGAAGAAACGGCCTCAGAGTAAAGATGGGTTCAAGGCTCTGGCCATGAGAACCCATGGGGCACTGTCTCATAGGAACCTGGAATGTCCCAAGTGGAGAGACTCACAGGAGACCCGTAACGTTTTTGAGAGGAATGTATTAATAAGAGCACGACCAACAGCTTGGACTAAAAGAAGGTGATAATATTCAAAATTAAAGGACACTTCTGGGCCTCCAGTTTTCTGTGGGCCAGAAACACAGAAAGCTACTCGTCTTCAAACATGGGCCGTTTATTTCTGATGGAGGAGGACGGACCTCACAGAGCAGAACAAGAGAACGACGGACGAGGAAGCCCTCCTGGGAGCAGACTGAGCCTTCGTCGAGGTCTCTCTCCTGCGCTTGCAGGAGCGGGCTCTGCTACCTGGGCCTGGGGCTGGAGTTGGTGCAGACCAGGGACTTCCATGCGCCTCGGATTCCTCCCCGTTCCGACGGGAGTGACTGTTGTGGCCATCCCGGCCCCGTTCGTAGGGTGACTTGGTTACGTAGTTCACAGATCTCTGGATCAAGGAGCGTCACACCAGAAGAGCCAGGTACAGATGTCCAGAGGGACCTGATGTTGATCATGGGACCCTGGACGTTGAGCCTGAGGCTCCAGCTGGGATGAGAATTTTAGGCCTTCTGGGATGGGGGGAAGGTGGTGGTGCACGTGTGAAGAAAATAAGTAACGTGTGGCTGGATCGTGGAATGTGATAGATGGCCTCAGGGCCACAGATTCTACTTTGAGAAGGAGGCACGGCCCTTCGCAACGAAGCTTCGCCACGCCTCCCGCTCGTTTTTCAGCCATGTTCAATCTGTGCTGGCCTTGTGGCGCTGTCTTGGTTAGCAGAATGTGGCAGAAGTGACACTGTGTGCGTTTGTAGCCTAGGCCTCCACTGGCCTTGGCACTCCCGCCTCTGCCCCCCGGGGATGCTGTCCTGAGACCACCACAGGTGGAAGTGTGTCTGACTCACAGGAGGAGGAGAGGCCACGTGACAGAGAACAGAGGTGCCTCAGTGGACAGCCAGTAACGAGGGCTAAGCTGTGAAGGGGGCGGATGTGGACATTCCATCCCTGCCCACTCCGCGGCTCAACGCGGCACGCAGGTGAGCCCATACGGAGCCAGCAGAAGGGATGCCCAGTTTGCCTACGGAAAAGTGAGAAGTAATAAATCGCTGTTGTTTTAAGCCATTAAATTTTGGGATAATTTGATACATAGTAAGAGAAATCTGCAATACCTAGCACGACCGACCCAGACAAAAGGGAAACATGAAATACTAATATCAGGAATGAAAGAAAAAAGGGAGACATGCTAAGATCCTAGTGATGTTAGGGTTAGTAAAGGGATATTGTGAACCTCATTATGCCCCAAATTCAATAACTTAGAAGAAATGGGTAATTTCCTTGAAATATAAAACTTTACAATTGACACCAAATAAACAGAAAATACAAATAGCCCTGTATCAGTTTTTTAAATTGTATCTGTAATTAAAGAGCTTCCCAAAAGAAAACTCTAGGCTCCAATGGCTTCACTGGTTAATTCTACCAAATACTTGAGGGATAAATAAGACCAATTTTGCACAGATTCTTTCAGGGAAGAGAGGAAGACGTGACAATTCCCCAACATGTTTTATTAGTCCAGCATAATCTCGACATCAAAACTTGAGAATAATGAAAGAGGAAAAAAATTATAGGCCAGTATCTTTCTTGAACAGAAACACAAAAATCCTTCACAAAATTAGCAAATCAAATCCAATAATGTGTAGAAAATTGATGATATGTTGTGGTCAAGTGAATTTATTCCATCAACTCAAGACTCTTAACATTTGAAGATCAATTGTAATTCACATTAACAGAGTAAGGAGAACAGCTATACTATCACCTCAACAGGTAAATAAAAAAACATTTAATAAAATTCAACTCATTCATTTAGAAAACTTAACAGGGAATAGAAGAGAAGTTCCATAATGAGATAACAGGCATCCATAAAAACACTACAGGTAACATCATGCTTTATGGCAAGAGCCAGAATGGTTTCCCCCAAGGGGTGGGGAGACATGGCAAGGTTGTCCCTATTTCCCACTTCTAGTCCGTGTTGACTTGAGGTCATGGCCAGTGGAATAAGGCAAGAAAAAGAATAAGGCAAGAAAAAGAAATGAAAGGTATAAAAATATCACAGATGACATGACCATGTCTATAGAAAATCCTAAGTCATCTAAAAGAGAACTACTAGGACTAGTTAGTAAAGTTTTTAAGTTTGTAGGCTTCAAGGACATACTAAACAATTTAATTGAATCAAGGTCTTAAAAGGGGAGTTTGAGAAACTGTCACAGATGGGAGGAGACTAAAAAGCTATGATGAAAAAAAGCAATATGAGACCTTAGAATGGATCTTGGAATGGATCATGGAACAGAAGGCCAACATTAGTGGAAAAACTGGTGGAATCCAAATAAAGTCTGCAGTTTAGTTACTAGTATGGAACCATTGTCAGTTTCTTCGTGTTGATAAGTGTGGCATGGTTATATGAGATGCTGACGCGATGGCCTCAAGCTAGGTGAAGGCACATGGGAACCCCTCACACTATCTTTGCCATCCCTCTGTTAACTGTGAAATTACGTTAGAATAAAAAGTTTAGGAACACAGAAGACAGCAGAGGAGGCTTCTTGAAGGTGACAGAAGCAAGGTGACGGTGGTGGCCCCGGTGGCGGCAGCGGCCCCTCCCCAGGCCAGCTCTGCCGTTTGCATCTGGAAGCTATTCCTGAGAGCTCAGCCTCTTAGATCTCCTTCCAAACACTCTGAAGCTACTTAATGCCCTGTGATAAATTCCTTGCTGCTTAAAAAAAAAAAAAAATCACCGCTAAAACAACAAAAAGCCACAGATTGGGAGAAAATATTCCTAACACATATAACTGACAGAGGAATTGTTTCTGGAAAACATAAACAAAACTCCTACAACGCAATGATGAAATCACGAGTATAGAAACGAGCAAGGGAGCAAAGCACCACGTCACCGGGAAGAGACTCAAAGAGCCTGGAAGCGCATAAATAGCGCTCGATACTATCAGCCACCCGGCAATGCAAAACAAAACCTCTGAGAGATCTCCTTCCACACCCGTCAGGGATAAAATTAAAAAGAGTGACAACCCTGATGTCAGGCGACACACATCAATGGTGGGTGTATAAAACAGTACAACTGTTTTTGGAAAACCGACGACGTCTATAAAAGGTAGATACACGCGTACCCAGCGATCACGTCCTGTGCACGTGCCCGGGAGACGTGCACGTGTGCACAGAAAGACTCGAACGAGAACGTTTGCAGCAGCTCTATTTATAAAAGCCGAAAGATGGAAACAACTCAATGTCCATCAAAAAGAGAGGCAGAACCTGTGGCACGTTTCCACAGTGGAATATTAACCAGCAATAAAAACGCACGGACCGTCGTCGTGGGCAGTGACGTGACAGAATCTCAAAGCATTATGTCGCCTGAGGGGACTCTGTACAGCTGCTACCCCGTGATCCTACTCATCCCAAGTTCAAAATCAGAGCCAACCCACGGTGCTGGCAGGGGAACAGGAGCCTCTCTGGGCGTGGGAGGGACTGACTGGAAGAGGAGGGTGGGAGGTTTCTGAGGCGACGGAAAAGTTCTGTATCTTCTTAAGTTTTAAAAATTGTGTTAAAATATATGTAAAATTAACCCTTTCCACCGTTTTTAAGTGGACGGTTCTGCGGCATTAAGCACATCCTCATTGCTGGGCAGCCACTATCCTCCTCCAGCGTCTTCTCATCTCCAAAACCGAAACCGTCCCCGTTAAACAATTTCTCGTGTCCCCTGCCCCAGCCCCCACCGTTCCGCCTTCTGTCGTCTCTACGGATTTGCCCGCCCCACACCAGAGCACGTGAGTGGAACCCCACGCTTTGTGTGCTCTTACGTCTGGGTCATCTCCCTCACAGCGGACGTTCTCAGGGGTCGCCCACGCTCTGGAACGGCTCTGAAAAACATTCCGCTGTGCGGATGCGCCACCTTTGGTTTACCCGGTCACCTGTCCACACGCTCTCTGTGTGTTTTCCTCCTCTTGGCTGCTGTGAACGGTGCTGCCATGGACACAGGCGTGCAACTTTGAGAAAAGCTCTGTGTCCTGGCCGGGGTGCTGATTACTAAGGGGTGCACATTTTCAAATAAATGCTCCACTGAAAACCCACGTGTCAGGCTGTCCGGAACGTGAGCCACCCCAATTCCCCCGTGCCCACCACGGCAGGCCCTTAGGTGTGGTTTCCCGTCCCTCTGCCACCTCGCCCCACCCTTCTGGCCCCCGCCATGGGGGCCTGGAAGGAGAGGCCCTTCCTCCCTCCTCTCCAGCCCTGGGCCGGGGCTTCGCCAGGTGGCTCCATGCCTGTGAGCCCCACGTGCCCGAGGAGACACGTGCCTTGTGAGTGTGGCCGAGTCGTCACGGAGACCTGGTGGTGGCCCCTGTGAGCCACACAGCACTCAGGGCGTGGTCTGGTCACCCCAGACCCTGACTCTCTGCGGCTCAGCCCTGGAGACGGCGTGAACGCACAGTGGCCACAGGGCAGGCCGGGCCTGCGGTCTGTGCACCCCTCAGCCTCTGGGGCCCTGCGTGGAAAACACCAGCCTCCTCCAGCATGCTGTGGGGGGGGGAGGGGGGGAACTCTGCATATTTTTTAAAACAAATCAACAATGCAGTTGCAATAGGCTTAAAGCCTTCTTGCTTTTCTCGAAGAAAGTTCTCTATTGCATTAATAAAGAGAAACAGTAGGAATCTCGGCAAAAATAATAAAGGAGCAGCTCTGCTGGAGAGGAGGGGCTGCAGCCAGCAGCTCTCTGGGGGACCTCTGCCTACTCTTGAGCTAATTCTTTTCTGAAATAAGTTTGATCTGTCTTAAAAATAATTAACACAGCTCGCATCTCCGAGAAGATGAATGGAGCGACAGAAAGTCTGAAGGTGAACCAGCCCCGCCCCCCCGGTCAGGGTGGGCCACGTCCGACGTCCCTGCTATGCATGTGCTGGGGACAGGCAAGAGGCACGATCCCAGTGCGCTGGCGTCAACTGCGGGCAAGGCTGCTCCCAGGGGTGGCTCTAGGGGCTGAGGCATTGGACAGAAACCCGGCCTGGGCAAGGCCGCTGCCCAGCCTGCAGCCCGAGCTGCCTTGAGAGCCCCCGAGCACCCCTTACCTGGTGAACCCACCCCAGGTGGGTCCTGGACAATGGTGCTATTCAGAGCAGGTTTCAGAGCCCCCTGGGGCGTGGCAGGTTGTTCCTGAAGGTCCCAGGGTCTGCACAGAGCTGGTTCCCTACACAGCATGGGAGCCACCCGCCAGCCACCCCCACGGCCACGTCCTCATGCCGAGTCTCTCTGCTTGAGGTCAAGGGGTCGGAGCTGCTCTCTCTCCCCGTCTAACCGGGAGGGCCTGTCACATGCCCCTACGTGGCTGGCCCTTCTGAATGGCTGTGGCCGGCTGTCCTGCCATCCGTCACGCACTTGCGAATCTTCCTGCTTGTTCTTCGTGGTTCCTTTTTTCTCCTCCATAAACTGATCCTTAAGAACGGTTACCTGATACACAGAGCACATAATTTATTGCTGGCAAATGATATCATATCTAAATGGTACGTTAGGATAAGGGACATGCCAGCATTTTATAATTGTTCATGCCCATATACAGAACATTGCCAATAGCATCGAGATACCGTTACTATTCCTGTTACTATTAATGCCAACACCGTTGGGGTACCTTTGACTCACTGAATTGTACCAATCTTAGGGTTCAATTTGGAAATAGCACTGCATAAAAATTCCAGAGGAAGGCCTTTTTAGTGAAAAATAAAAGTAAAAATGATTCAATATAATGGCAGGTTGTGTTATTACCGTAAACCCAGAGAGCCTTTCTCAAGGTTGCACAAAAGAACATCTGGTGTCCATTTAAAATTCACCCACCGCATAGGAGAGGGAGGACGGGAAACCGTTTGCCAAAGTCAGGATCCGCCGAGCAGAGGCTGGGCCTGGAGCAGCCCCAGTGGGGCTGGGGTGGCTTGACGGGCCGTCCCCACCGAGCCTGCCAGGGCCGTCCCCAACACGCAGCGGGCACGGCCACCAAGACCCGCCACGTCCATGCCTCTTTAGGCAGTGGCGGTACCCGAGGGGAAAATGCCCAGCGTGGTGGGTGGGACAGAACGAGTCTCAAACTGGATCATCTACAACCGCTGCAGTTGGCATTGTCGCCATGGCTGTGGCCAACACAGCGGACAGTTCCCCTGTCCTTCTGGCCTTATCGCTTATTTTGGGGAATGGGGACTGGAAGATGTGTTTACTTTTAAGCTGATTTTAGTTTTTCAGCATCACCTTTTGTCCTTAAAGGTCTTCCCTTAAAATTACCTGAAAGACCCTGGACACTGTCTGGCTTTCAAAGGCTTTGCTCACATCTTCTTGCCTCCTAGAGCCAGCGAGCTCTGGTCTCATTTGCGGCACCTGTGCTTGTCACACCGACTAACAGACGCTGGGAAGACACAGCCATCCCCTCGGAGAGAGATGTGCAGCTACAGTGGATGTGAAGAAAGGCACAGTTATCCCCCAGTCCTTCCCAGATACCATCTCCGTTCAGAGGTTCCTCTAGAAGGGAGCGGGCTCGGCATTGCCAACCCAGGAACATTCCCAGGGGACAAAAGGCCCAAAGACAGTGACACTGAGCTCAGCTCACCAGATAGGAAATTCGCTTTGAGCATAAAATATTGTTTTTGGGAAACACATTATTTCAAGTTTTGCACTCAAAGCGAGATTTTATTAAAGTGTTCTAAGTTGCAATATTTCTCCTTTTATACGCTAAACGAACACCAGTCTCTTGCCATGGAGGATTTCGAGCACGTGGCGAGCACACGGCACGGTGCCGTGAGCCCCACACACCTGTAATCTGCCTGCAACCGCCACCGACATTTTGCTATCCTTGCTCCACCTGTGAAGTAAAATTTATACTTTGAAATGCACAAATCTTAACCGTGTGTGTTTGACAAATAATAGATACATTCACTTACCCACATGCCTGTCAAGAATAGGAAGTTCCCTCATGATTCTTCCCGGTTTAACCCACCTCACTCCGCCCTGGGCAAACCATCCTTCCGAACATTTTTCCAGCATGATTGTTTTTGTGTTTTCTAGAACATCGGGTGAATGAGATGGGCGAGTTCCTTTTGTGTTCCACTGCATGAACATAGCACAACAGTGTGCCTGTTATTCTGCGGAGTGACGTTCAGGCTGGTCTCAGCACTTGGTCACCATGAACACAGGTGCTAATGTCTTCCAGCTTTGGTCTTGTCCCAGGTTGTCCGACTCCTCTAGGTTCTTTGCATTTCTATATAAAATATTTTCAACTGGCCAGGCGTGGTGGCTCACACCTGTAATCCTAGCACTCTGGGAGGCCGAGGCGAGCAGTTCGCTCAAGGTCAGGAGATTGAAACCAGCCTAAGCAAGAGCAAGACCCCGTCTCTACTAAAAATAGGAAGAAATTAATTGGCCAACTAATATATATAGAAAAAATTAGCTGGGCATGGTGATACATGCCTGTAGTCCCAGCTACTTGGGAGGCTGAGGCAGAAGGATTGCTTGAGCCTAGGAGTTTGAGGTTGCTGTGAGCCAGGCTGACGCCATGACACTCTAGCTCGGGCAACAGAGTGAGACTCTGTCTCAAAAAAAAATAAAAAAATATTTTCAATCATGTCGATTTTTGTAAGAGCCTGTTAGGGTTGTGATCAGAACTGTTTTGAAATTTTACATCAATTTTGGGAAAATCAACATCTTAACAGTATCAGTTTTCCAATCCATAAATATGGTATCTCTCTCTCCTTTTTTCTTCAATTTCTCTAAGAAATGTTTTGTAGTTTGCAGAATATTGGTCTTACCCATTGTTCATTCTGTCCCTTCCCAAGTACTCCACTTTTTGACAATATTTCATAAATAGTACTGCTTTGAAATCTTCCGCGTGTTCGCCGACAGGATGTGGGAACGTGGTTGGTTTTCACAGCTCAGCCCCACGTCCCGTGACCTTGCAAAATTCACGTTATTGGATCTGTTGATTTTTCCTTGTTGATGCATTCAGATTGTGCATGTGAACAATCAGGCCATCTGCAAATAGGGATCCATCTTAGTGGATTCTGCTCGACTCACTTCACGGCAGGGCTGGCCGTGGGTTCCACACTGGACAGGAGTGGGGAGGGCGGGCGCGGGCATGGGTCCAACACGCCACCTCAGCCACCGAGTGCCTTGTCTGTGGGCTTCCCGCAGACGCCCGGCATCAGACGGAGGAAGCTCCTTTCGATCTCGGTTTGCTGAGAATCGTTGCAGTGAACGCGTGCTGCATTTCATCACAGGCTTTTTTATTTTTTTTTTAAACATCTATTAAGATGATTATATGGTTTTTCTCCTTTATTCTGTTACCATGTCAAAGCATATTGATTTCCAAACCCCAAACCAACCTCACATTCCTGGAACAGACCTACTTGTTCCTTGCTTGACTTGACTTTCTTTGCTAACATATTTTGTTAAAGATTTTTTTTTTTTGCATCTATGTGCATGAAAAAATATTGATATACAATATTTTTGTCACAGTATCTTTGTCAGGCTTCGGCATCGGGGTCATTAAATAATCTTTCAGGTTTTCTCTATTTGAATGCAACTACACACACCTGACACGGCGGCACAGAGAGGAGGAAGGCAGCAATGTCTGAGTGTCACTAGGACGAGTCTGTCTCTGCCGCGGGAAGACCGTTCCGGGCTGGAGAAGGGAGGAGGACACAGCCGCACGAGGAGGAAGAGGAGGAAGAGGAGGAGGGAGAGTGGGAATGAGAATTTCGGCGCTGACAAAGCGCTGCCAGGGCCTTGGGCTCCTCCACTCCCCACCTGTGATGCCCGAACTCCAGTTTAACTGTCATCTCAAAAAGTTTCCTCTCGTTAGATTTACAGTTCTCTAGTTACAGCGGAAGTCACAGGAAGAATAGATTCGTTTTCAAGAATTAAATCCAGAAATCTGCTAAAGTAGAGGCATATCTGACACTGCCTATAAAACGGCATTTGCTAAGTGACTGGAGGAGTCACCCCATTTTAGGAAGGTCTCCTTAGCAGGTGACACCTAGTGAGGGCCCGCTACGCCCATGCAGTCTCGCCGGCGGCCGGGAATGGGGGGGTGGGCAGGGGCCACGAGAGACACGACCGGCCCTGCTTTGGGGAGCCTGGGGTCTGGCAGGGGTACAGACGGGAGTCAGCGGCCAGGACAAAGGGGGCCACCGCCCCGTGCAGGGCTGGCAGGGCGGGCGTGGAGGGCAGAGCAGGGGCAGCGGGCAGCAGTGGGGGAGGGCAGCGGGCAGGTGCGCCACCAAGGACCTCTGCGAGCTGGAGGCGTCCAGCGGAACATCGCCGTCTCCCCAGCCAGACTTGCCTGCCCTTCCGGCACCCCGCGGCGTGGGCGTGCGCGCGTGCAAAGCTGAGGCTGCGGAACACAGACGCCAAGCAACCCAGCCGCAGTTGCCAGGGCAACCACACTCTAATATAAATAGCAGAGCAAAATTAATCAGGGCCTGCGACTTGGGTAACTTCCTGGCGCACCAGCCTAGCGTCTCGCTGAGTGATGGCGTTGGCGAGCTCTATGGGCTTGCACAATTTTTGAACTCGGAGAACGTCACATGGCCCATATTATTGAGTACCACTGAGTCCACTGGTTTGAGCCGGGGTGACTCGGTCCCCACGGGCAGAGCGAGCCCTCGGGTGGCAGGCAGGGACCATTCATTCTGGGGACCCAGGGCATCTTCGGAGAGAGGCAGATGCTGGCATCTGTGCTCAGCGCTCTGGTTCCGGAACCTGGGTCCCATCTGCAGACTGGCAAGACGATAGCTCGCAAACGTCCAGGTCCGACCCGTTCGCCCAGGGCCTGCACTCTCTCTTCCCAGCATCACCGTCTTTTGAAATGACATCACTGACCTTCCTCCCCACTGGAACGTAAACGCCACCGGGCAGGGGCCTCATTGGTCCTGCTCACGGTGACGTCCCCAGAGCTCAGAAGAGCGCCTGGCCCCGGGCAGGCACGCAGACACTTGCTGGAGGAATAAACGCATCTGTTGGCAAATAAAACAGCAATTGCTGAATTTCATCGATTGAGGGTCCCTTTGAGAGCATCCACTTCAATCCCCCAGGTACAGCTGAAAGCGCGAGAGAGTTGCAGCCAAAGAGTCTGATTCAGAGCCCTCCCGTCACGAGAATCCACGGGCCTCGGCAAGTCTTAAATCCCAGCCTCAGTTTCCCCACCATAAATTGGATGTGGCGGTCCTCACCTCGCAGGCCTCTGGGGGATTCAGCGAAAGAGCGTGGCGAGTGTTGGTAGGTTCTGCGCAGACAGGAGGCAGCGGGAGCAGGATTTTAACACGGAAGGGAGAGAATCTGTCCACGAAAATTATGTGGTGGGTGCAGGACCTCGTGGTCTACTAAGGGGGCGATTTTCTGGGGGTTAGGTGTGATTTTTGTTATTTAGGATTTTTTTTTTTTTTGGTCTTGAAAACCATTATAAAGGGACTGGAATTGCACTTTTAAAAGACTGCTCAGTAATAGAGGTTTCACAGTATCAGCTGTTCAGGAGAGACCAGGACCCGCTGGCTTTCCCTGGGATGACCTTTATTAATTTCTATTAATAACTTACTCACGAAAGGATGTTCGTTAGCTCTTTCAGGACACGAGTCCAAAGGTCAGCAGAGAATTGGGAGTTTCCTCTTTTTGTGCTGAAATTTAGCTCCTCACGGACTGGCTGTCGAGCGTGGGGATTTCACCTGGCTTTGCAGCGAGAACGCGGCGGAGGCTCGTCGGAAACAGGCGGCGGCTGGCGGAGCGGAGATGCTCAGGGTAAACATTTAGTGCGGGGCGGGCGGCTCTTACATTTGCATCTTGATCTAAATCTATCTGCCGATTTCCCATCTGCTAATATTTTCCCATCTGCTAAATACCTGCTACCAGGGGAAGAGGACGTCTCTGTCATCCGCCCCTGCTTAACCTCCATGTCCCCTTCACCTGAACTTGGGAATAGCTCCGCGTGTTTGTAGGGGTGCAGAGCACGTACATGCACACGCGTGTGCACGCACAGGCACACGGGTCAGCCCAGGACTTGCCTCCTCCCCAAAGGGCACCCTGGAGTGCCTTCTCCATCCGTGGGGCTGGAAACCCAGGAGACAGCGGCTCTGGGGGCCTGAGGCCAGCTCTCGAGAAGAGGGTGTGTCTGTCAGAAATCCACCACAAACCACGCAGCCCCAAAGGCCGGGATCCTGTCTCACTCGGGATCCCTCAGGCTCCTGGGCCGGGGCGGGTGAGGGGAGAGGCAGCCGGAGCGGAGGCAGGAGGAAGCTCGGGGTGGGGTCGTCTCCGTGTTGCCCCTTGAGGATCCTCCTCACGGGGATGGGCTGTGCTGGATTTGGCTCTGGTGCCCAGGGAAGGACTGGAGCCTCCTCCCCGGCACAGCGCCCGGCCCCAGCAGTAGCAGGATCGGAGGTTGTGCCAGTCCCAGCCCCGGGGCCCTCACGCGCTCCCGGGCTCTAAACAGAGTCACACGTGCGAGTTACTGAACCCGAGAGGGCCTGTGCCAGCCATTTGCTCCTTTTCCACTTCCAACCCCACGAAGGGCCAAAGCGTGCAAGCTGCTCACCTCCAGGGCCCGGGAAGGGACAGGCCAGGCACGCAGCTCCTGCACTGTGGCTGCTCCTCGGAGGAAGGTCTGCTCCCTGGTGTCCAGACCACCCACCGCAGACCGAGGAGCAGAGGGCGGAACGGCCCCAGGGAGCCAGAGTTGCGTTCCGTGCTCCGAATCCAGGCCGTCCCATGAGGCGCCAACTACGCACACACTTGATGGATGGCAGCAAATAATTATTCTCCGTGTTGCTGTGAGCTTGCCTTCGCAGAGAGCCAGAGATGAATAAAATATATGAGAGCACATCAAAATATAGTGCAAGGACAACATATACAAACAGTACATTAAGCATTATGGAAGACAATAAAGAGAGCCGGAAAACAGAGCCCAGCGTTAGCAGCTGGGCCCGGAGTCCGCACGTATCTGTGCAAATGGAAGCCGGTGCCGCAGACGACGTCCCCCGGCCTCTTCGGTCCTGGGAATATTTCATTAGTTGGAAAATCTGAGCAGATTAATTTCTACCGCCTCATCCTTCCTAAAGGACAAGTTGCTGGGTACACAGCTTGGCGGCTCCTGCCCCGCCAGGCCCTGGGCTCCCCTCCACGCAGAGTGCAGTGTCAACAGAAATGCTAGTGACATTTCTCTCTCTCTCTCAATTACCTGTAGGCTTTTCACTGCCCGTATAAAATACATACTGTGCTCCGGCGAGATCCATTGTACCGAGGTCAGCGGGAACTCATTGTCCTTTTCGGCTTCGGAACAAGACAATACTGACATCTGTAAGATTTGCTGTAAATAATCCGAATGGTATGGGCACCGAGCAAGGGGCAGGAGGAGGGGAAAGAGGAGGGAAGGAAGGGGGAGAGAGAGAGACTGAGGTGGGGAGAGGGGAGAGGAGGACAGGGAGGAGAGAGAGGCAGAAAGGTGCTGAGAAATTCACTGAATGTTGAATCCTTCAGAGTCCTGACTGTCCGGAGAAAGCTTTGCCGAATGGCTTGCACCCTCTAAGGGGAAAGTAAATATTCGGCGACGGTCCACGGGACAAGGTCCGGCTTCCGTGCTCGTGGCAGACAGACTTTGCTGGGGTGCAGGCCTGCCCTGAAAGGTGCCAACCAGAGGGACAGAGGTGGAGCCGGCTGTGCCCGGCCCCCGGCAGAGCCACACGCACGGGGTTCCAGGGCACAGGCTCGAATCCTGATTGGGATGTGGCCCTGATTCAGTGCAATGTGGTCTTGTACTCAACAGCTCAAATCAATAAGCGAAAACGGGGCGGGGGTGGTGGACGGGGCTGCTCGAAGACTCGAGGGGCAGGGAGGCCTACTGGGTGGGGGGCGGTGGCGGCTCTGCCTGGAACCGCCGCCTTTTGGGTCGGCGTGCGAGACAATCAAAAGCCCACTTGACAGCCAGTCAGGGAGAAGCTCTTCTCCGAAGGAGATTTTTCACGGAAAGGAAAATTTGGCGACAGGCAGGAGGGACTGTGCTTGGGATGACAGATGAGCAAGAGAAATTCTAATGGAGACTCCTGGAAACCCCACTTGTCTTTTCTTTTCTACTCGCCCAAGAGGCAGGGACTTAGTGCGTGTGCACGTATGTGTGAGTGGGTGCACGCGTGTACGAGATGCAAGAGTCAGAGCCTAAGTGCATGTGCGTGCACGTGTGTATGTGCAAGAGGCAGAGACTGAGGGTGTACAGGCATGCGTGAGCACACGTGTGCAGGACAGAGTGGGTGTGCCGTGTACACGCATCTGTACACGCGTCTGTGCACGTATGCAAACGTCCGAGCGCCTGTCCCCAGCACATTCTCCCAGCCCGTGGCCGGGACCCTGTGTAGGAGGCTGAGTGGCGAGATATCTGCTTAGGGACCGTTTTCCGCCACACCGGGGCTGCTTCTCTGGGTGTGAGGCGGTCTCAACACTTCCCCAGGTCACGGGCAGGGCTGACTTTGACGCTAGCCCGGCACCGAATTCATTTCCACTCGGGACGTTTTACCCTTAAAGACAAAAACCTCTTCACGGCCTGTACCTTTCCCCCCTTTCAGTCATATCCAGAAAAGTGAGCATGTGATTTCAATTTGAAATTAAAAGTCATGTCTGAATAACAGAACTGCATTCTCATTTCCTAATACCCTGGTTTTTACTACTTTGCATTCAACTGTGAAAAGTCTTTTAAAACTCGGAACAGCAGTAAAACTTGAATGAATTTTTGACCCATTATTGCATAGCGGGTGCGCCTTCCAAGTTGGAGAGACTGCCAAGTTCTCACCACCTAATATTTCCACTTTAATTGTGCCACTTGAGAAATTTACGTGCCTCAAAATATGGCATGAATCTTACGCTTATTGCAGTATCATTAGCGGCAACATTTAAGCAACATCTGTGTGCCATAGAACTAATTGAAGTAGCAGAAGTGGCAGCTGTAAATCCACAGGAAGATGGCAGTTTGTGCCCGGCACTGCTGAGCTAGCTGCTAACTGTCAGCCTGTTCCCGCAATCTGCTCTTCAGTGCTGCGGCACAGCCACACAATGTCCAAAAAAATACAGGGAGTAGGCTAATGATCCTATTAACCACTTTGCTGCACCAATTTGGCTGTTTTTCCAGTTTCCTCGTTGAATTTCATTATAAATTTCGCCATTCCTGTAAAAAGTCCGTGCGAGAGGCGTCTGACTTTAAACGACTTATACCTGAGCCGAGGAACGCTCCTCTGGCCAGACCGAGCCGAGGATTGATTTTTTTTTGTTGTTGTTATTGAATATAAATTCTGCCCCACCGGCACCCCCTTCCTGGACTCCTTGAGATTGCTTAAAAATTTTTAGCACACACATTTTCTGCAAAAAAAAAAAAAAAAAAACAACTTTTGAATCCCTTGTAATGGTGATATTTAAAGCAATGGCATTTTCTTCCCACGGACGTAACATTTTCAATAATCAATACGAGATGGCAGCCGTAATTTATTACTGGCTGGGAGTGAGGAGCAGGGCGGGCGTGTCCGGCGGAGTCTGCGGAGGTGCAAACGCGGTCAGGTGACGCGAGGGTCCGGAGCAGCCACCAGCCACGGACTTCCCAAGTTCACGTGTCAGGGCCGAGACGGTTTAGACCCAGGAAACACTGACGGTTTTTCTTCCTTTGATGTTAAGAAAAATGACACTGATCCTTCCCACCGGAGAGCGAGCTAAGTTGGGGGGGGGTGTGCTTCTTGCAGTGGGGAAACAAAGGCCCCGGAGCCCCTGCTTTTATTCAGAGTATTTCCTCCACCGAGCACAACTGGAGGGAGTGTTCCTGACGCCCCCTACAAACCCCAGCCCCACGGTGCTTTTAATTCTGCCTGCACCTGTTTCGGCGTTGGCAGGGGACGCGGGCGTCTCCCCCGGCGCCCGGCCCGCAGACAATGATGTAACCGGTATCTTGCGAAGCACTCGAGAGCGCTGGAAGAGCACAAAAGGAGACCTCCTTCAACACGGGATGACTGGTGTGTTTGCCAACAACCCGACTTCATTAGAAAATTGGCACGTCCACCCGGCTGCCATGTGACACGCCGTTAACTCTGGACATTTGCTGTCTTAATGCTCAAGTACTCAGGGGCCCGGCTGATAAGGGAGAAACCGTTTGGAATCTGCTGAACCCCACGCTTGGGGTGGCACGCCACCTCCCGGTATTGAAAATCAATAGTCACGTGGCTGCTTGAAGGTCGGAGGTCTCCAGAATGAACTTCCTAGTACTAAATTACTACCCCTTGTTTCTTGGTTTGTTTTTTCACAATAATACATTTTAAGGGGGGCCCTGGTTAAAACCACTTAGGACACGCGCACGGTGGAAAAAACAGAATCTCTGGTGGAACAGCTGCTGGCTCCTCCCACCGGCTCAGAGAACACCGGGATGGACGGATGCGGAAAAGCTCCGCTGGTCTGCAATTTGGGGTGTGTTTTTTAAAAAAAAGAATTTTTTTTTTTTGTTGTTGTTGTTGGTCATGCTTCAATCTCTATATAAAAGGACAAAAGCTAGTTTGGAAATTATCCATCTCTGACTTATGAAAACGATGCAGCTCAGTAACAACCCGGGCACGGCTCCTGCCTCGGGATGCTGTCTGGGAAGCCACGGCACAGGGCGTGGGCACCAGGGAGGAGGGTGCTCCTGGCATTTCGTTTCAGCTGAGAAATAAGCTCCCGTGCCTAGTTACAGAGCACCGTTCTCTCCGGACGTGAGTTCCGTTCGCAGTTTAGGCGCAGACGCCGCCACCCGTCTCGCCCGTCTGAACACGTGTGCTCTTCACCTGCATGCGCGTAAACTGTCGCGGTGCCCGAGAACAGACCACGGGTTACATCACTGACAGCACACTGGAAAAGGAAACTAACATACAAAGAAAAAAAATTACTAATTTGTTAAAAAAAAAAACCCACCCAAAATTCATTAATAAGTAACAAATATATAATTAAAAAATTATTTTCCAAAGTAAAAGAAAAGCTAGCAAGAGTGGTGGTGTTTTCTGCCTATGCAAATCTTCTTAATGCCTGCCTTACCAAGGCACAGCTAGACTCTCCTTCACTCAAGCTGTCGTGATTTGTCCTCTGGGTTGACAAGGAGGAGAACGATCTGCCTTCACATGGACGTGTAGTTGGAAAAGGAGCACTTTGATAGCCTTTTCAGAAAACTGTGGATGTCTTTCTCTGATCCTACACCCAAACTTGACAAGTGGGAGTTTCTTCAGTTTAGCTGCAGTGCAGGACCTGAACCCCCCTTTTGGTGAACCCCGAGGCTCCGTCCTGCACTGAGAAAGCATCTTCAACCCACATGCCCGGCTTTGTGACATCATGGGTTGGTCATGGGAAATACTGTTATGCAAATCCTCCAAACGTTGACACATTTCATTGCACTTTTTAAAAAAGCGCATTTGTTAATACCACCACCGATCTCAGCAGAATGGTCTTTAAGCACAGCTGGCCCCTCTGCATCTGCGGGTCCTGCAGCTGCAGATTCAACCAACAGTGGGTGGAAAATATGGTATCCCAGGGACGCGGAACTGCAGATGCCAAGGGCTGACTTTCGTGTCCGTGGGTCCACAGGGCTGGCTGTGGGGCTAGAGTGCCTGCAGGTTTTGGTGCTGCTGGACTGAGGACCGACTGATTCCTCGAACCCACCCCCTGCAGTGACCGAGGAATGACTGTTGGGAAACCATAAAGCTCATAGTGGCAGATGCATGTTCTCAAAGATTCGAATTTTTGTGCAGAAACGAATTTTTACTGTTGGCAACAAATGTTGCCAGTTGTTCTCCTTGAAGGCAACAGTTCACTTAATTCATTTTTGAGAAACTGTCTAGCAAACACACGTCTCGGTGACCACTGCTGGCTAGTCAGTCTCTGGACGTCAAGGCTGCCGGAGAGCGTGGCCTGTGGAAGGGCGGGAGGCAGCGGCAGCGTGCTCCCCGCAGCTCTCCCGGACGCTCTCTGCCCGCCCGGAGGTCTCTCCGGAACACTGGGTAAGAGGCGCCTCACAATCTTTGCTCTTTGCACGGGGGTGATGCTCTAAGCCTGTGTGTGGGATGAGGTTTCCGTCCACATATGCCGTGTCGTGTCTTGTGCTGCTGTGGGTCTGAATACTCTTGGGGACGAGCCTTGTTCCCCACAGCCCAAGCCCTGCGGGGGTGGGATCCTGAAGCCCAAGCCCTTGGGAGGGAGGTCAGACCGAGCTCGCCTCCTGCAGGCACGTCTGGTTCTGCAAGAGGGGGAGCAACACCCTAGGAGTGAGGCTGTTCCGGAACAGCCGGCAGTGCCGAGCGACAGGACTGCGTCTGGGGGCAGCTGCGGAGCTTCTGACTCCCTGATTGTGCTGAGAATGGGGATCTGAGACTCCTTCCGGGACAGGCGGGACAGGCTCTACCCACTGCTCCTGGTCACCTCAGCCTCCGCGTGGCTGGTGCTGGGGCCCGAGGAGGGGCCGGTCCTCGATGCTCGGGCCGGTCCTCGATCTGGCGGACCGGGGTCCTACACCAGGTGGAGCTGGCAGGACGCTGCCCGGCAGCCGGGCCAGCAGGACAACTCCCTCACTCAAAACCGGTTTGAGGGGGTCATCGTGAACCTCTGTGGAGTCACCTGCCGCACCAGGAGTCACCAGAGACAGGCACACAGCTGTCCTGAATCCCGGCCTCAGTGACCTACTTAAATTTTAAAAAATGTGATGGAATATTTGATACAAAAAACCCAAATATGCATAACACACATGCTGTGAAGCACCGCTGCAAGGCACCAGTGAACAGGCAGCCCAACCCGGGCGCACCCCGCACAGCCTGCCTGGCGCTACCGGGGTCCCACCCGCCACCCCCACCCAGAGGGGACAGGCTGTGCCTTTACTGATCATTTCCTTGCCCTATTAGAGGGTTTGTCGATACATGTGTGTATGTGTGAGCATGCTCTCATTTAAAGGGCTCTACATCCCACCATTAACACACGTCGTCTGCGACTTACGGGTTTGCTCACACTTCTCAGCTGCATTCCTCATGTCGCAGCACGCGTCTGTAACTGTTCGTTGTCACTGCCGTGTGCTGTTTCACCGTGTGACCGCACCACTGCACATGTTTGTTTTTCTCCGGGTGGACATTTGGAAGGACTGCGGTTTTCGCCACCGCAGACGGCCGTGCTGTGAGCGGCGGCGCTCCGTCCCAGCTCCCGAGCACCTGTGCTCAGCTTCTCCGCGGGGGCGCGTTTGGGAGAGGATGGCCGGCCAGAGGGCACGCGTGTCTCCAGCTCCACAGGACAGCCACGGATGACCGTCCAGGGTCACCGCGCTCACAGGCCAAGTCTCCTTTTCAACATCCCGCGGACGCTATCCTCCAACTCCTAGGAATGGTCCAGCAGAGCAGGTGCTACGATGCGTGGACGCTTGTGGGTGACCCTAGACCTGACTCCAGAATGCCAAGGAAGGGTGTCATCGCCCCGAGGCATCGGCGCAGGGTTGGAGGCGACGGCCTCGGGCTCGAGTCTGGGCCTCCTGGTGCGGCAGCCAAGTGACTGCGGGCGAAGCTCCCGTCTTTCCTGTGTGTGGGGGAAGACAGCATCGGGCAGGGTGCTGGGAGGAGAGCAGGTGCCAACGTGGACGGAGGTGCTTGGGGAAGAGTGGACAGGGTAGCTTTAGTTGGCGACGTTCTCTATCGACGAAAACGCCTGCTGAGGGCGCCGGTGAGGAAGGAGCCCCCAGAGCACAGGGCCAGGGACCGCCGTGCGGAAGGCAGCCCCGCTGGAGCGTCCCGAGGCCTCAGCAGAGGGGACCCACCTGTCCCTGGAGCCTTGGGCAGACCCGTCAGGCCCTGCGGTAGCAGCAGGAACACGACGTACCAACCTGGGGCCCTCAGCAGAGGGGACCCGCCTGTCCCTGGAGCCCTGGGCAGACCCGTCAGGCCCTGCGGTAGCAGCAAGGACCGTAGCAAAGGACCGTCACACACGGAGGGGCCCAGGAGCTGGATGGCCTGCAGAGGGTCTTTTTTAGAATAAACAGCTTTCCAGGATGTTCCTAGGGTGCTTGGCAGGTGACTTTTACCGCTGCAGTGACCTGGTTGTTTTCCAGATTGTCTGGGTGCAAATTACATTTTTTTATAAATTAAAAACAATTCTTTTCTGAAACGTCTCCCTCCAGCTCATTGGTCTGAGTCACGTTCCCGTGTGGCCGGGTCTGAGCGCTCAGCGCCCGAGTACACGACATGGAGTCATTTTTCTAGAAGCCTGGATCCTTCTGCGGAGAGGAGCCACGGGCTCTGTCAGAGCACTCGGGCCGCGAGCATCGCCCTTTCTAACCCTGCGTCCCGTGGCCCGTCTCCCGGTTTTTCTTGGCCCAGGACGTGGCCCTGCTAACCGGCTTCTGTGTTTTTCCAATTGAGGGAAGAGCTTTCGGGGGAGTTCTTCAGATAATCATCGTCTTGATCTTAAACGTAAATACTGTCGCCGTGGTTTAGAGAGAGATTAATGATTTGCTGACAGCTCCATACATCCTTACGAAGTAAAGGCACGGAAGAGAGCGCTCCATCACCTACCTCATTTCCAGCACCACGAGGGCGAGAGCCACACCCCGCAGGTGGCCGGCTGCGCCCCTGGAGCCCAGGTGAGCGAAGTCTGGGTCTCGGGCCTCCATGCATCTTTTCTGAGAAACCGACCAGCTGAGAAGGAAGCTCTGCATTCATCCTTTGAAGAGGAAAACAGGAGAAATGGACATCTGCCGGGCTCCGTGGCGGGCGCCTCACCATTCCGGCTCTACCTTCTGGAGGAACTGCCAGGTGACACCACTGGCTCCATTTCAGAGAAGGGAAAGTTGAGGATGAACCAGGCTTGCTGAGGCGCAGCCACCGCCCAGAGCCCAATCCAGGGCTGGCCTCCCGGCCCCCAGCACGGCCCGTGAACAGGTACTAATGCACCTGCGTTCTGGAGCTCCCGGGGCGCGGGCCACCTCGGTCCCCCACGGCTCTGACACGCTCAGAGGCCACTGCCCCTGCCCTGGGGACTCTGGTCACACGCACCTTGGGGTCCTGGGGCAGGGAAGCAGTTGGCTCCCGGCTAACTCCGGTGCTCCCGTCACACTCTGACTTCCGCCCAAGAGCAGGGCAGGGCAGGGCGTGCTGCCAGCAGCCCTGGGGCCTCAGGACGGCGACTGTTCCTGTCACCGCCTCCAACGGCCCACGCCTCTCCGGTGCAGCCGGGCTGAGCTCCGTCAGGGACACGCGGGCGCGTCGGCACCAGCAAGACGAGCCGATCACACTCCACATCTGAATTTCTTATGTCTTCAAAGTGTTCGACACTAATTAGTTAGTTCTGTTAGCTCTAAGGATTAGTAGCTTCTCTAACAAGACACGGCGACGCTAAGCGACTTACCTAATTATGTAAAACACAGGACTCGAGCCGGGGAGGCCAGCTCCTCTCGAGCTGGGCTCGGGCCAGCTCTGCCCGGCTGCGGCGTCCACCCTGCCTGTTCTCGGGGTGCCAGGGGCCCAGGGACAGACGCGCGGGCCTGCCTTGCAGTCTCTGCCCCATGCCGGGGGCCACAGTGAGCCTGCCCACGCGTGGGGTCTGGGGCCCGCCCTCCTCTCGGTGTGTCTCCTGTGCAGGGGCTCAGGGGCCACCTGGACAAAGGAGCCGACTGGGCCCAGGGTCCGTCCCAGGGCGGCAGGCTGGGGGAGGGAGCTGTGCTGGGTGGGCAGGGGGAGGGGGCTGCCCTCAACGTGGTCGGCAGGCTGGCCCCACCGTGTCCCCTTTGGCACCTGGCTGGTGACCGCCACGTGCTGCTCGCCACTGACTCGTCACCATCTGAATGTCACCAAGAACTGACCCCACGCTGCCTGTGCTCATGGCGAGGGTGTCTGCCCTCCCCCCAGCCCCGTGCCACCTGTGCCCCCCCTGCTCTCTCCTAAAGCACCCAGTTGCTCCTGTCACTCAAAACGCCTTCCACATCCTGCCCAGCTCCAGCAGGTGCAGCACAACTCCCACCTCCTCCAGGAAGCCCCTCTTGACTTGGTGGCCCACCCTCCCCGAGTGTCCTCTGAGACCTCAGGCCCCGAGGTGATGTCACGTAGCCTGTCCCTGCAACTGCCGGCTGTGTGTCCCGAGACCTTACCTGGGCATGCTCAGCCGTCCTGCAGGTGGAGAGGAAAAAGTCCTCAGAGGAGCTGCTCATCCTGGTGTCCCTATGCCGAGGTGACAGCCACAGTATCTCGCTCTATAGATGGTCTTCTAAAAGGACGACGTAACGTGGACATGTATATGTATGGTTTTAAACAGAATCCGGGGTCATTTGGAAGGGATATTTTGTTTCTTATTATAAAATTAACACGTTTCATAAACGTCGAACACCAGCAAAAAGCGAGGCTACATGCACGGACGCTCTCTGGCACACGCCGAGGCCCTTCCTGCTCGGGGCCTTCCGTGTAGAAGTCCTGGTGGGTTCTCTTCCACGGTTTTACACTTGCGTGCAGAGTGGGAAGTTTCGTTTTGTGGAGCATTGATGACGCCCTACGTTTCCCCACGTCAGCCTGCGTAGAGCTCCCTGGCCGTTCCTGATGGACCCGTTCTAGGCTGTCGGGACGCGTCACGATTTGCTCAGCCAGCCTCGCGTCTGTGGGGCGTCTGTGCTGGCCCCGTCGGTTGCTATCACGAGCACTGGGGCCGAGAGGATCCCTGTAAGTCTGGCCGTGTGTACTCGTGTAGTCGGCTCTGGAGAACACGGCCCGAAACGTGGGACTGTTTGGTCAAACGGAATAGTCATTCCACATTTTAATAAATACTGCCCAACTGCGTTCCCAAAACACGCCTGCGTTCCTACCAGCAGTGTGCCTGCCCTTTATTTACACTGTGGACAAAGGATTGCACGTCCTTTCCCTTTAACCAGATTATAGTACGACGCTGTCTCCCATCCCAATCTGTGACATTAATATTATGATCACTACACTACTGAGGTGGGAAATCTCTCAGGGGATCACTCCAGGTAATCCTTGTCAATCTCACCTGGGCCCCTCCTCTGCCCTTTCTAGAGGCTTCCAGTTGCCATTTTGTATTTTTTCTCTATGAATTGCCTGTCTAATATTCTTTGCACATCTGTCTTTTGGGCAGTTTGCCTTCTTCTTATTGATCTGTAGATACTCTTTATATATTATGAATATGATCTCTTCAGATTACCCGTTGCCAGTGCTTTCTCCCAGGCGCCATTTGTCTTTTGTTTCCAACAGCTTTATGTGGTCAAGCACGCCAATCTTTTCCTTTATGGCTTCTGAGTTCTCGCCATATTCTGACACACCTCCTTCAAATGCAGATGGAGATGCATTTGTCTTATATTTTCATCTGGTACAGTAACAATTTAAAAATCCAGCAGATGTTTAGAACTCTAAGGTCTCCGGAATTGTGTCATTTTCCAAATAGCTTGCCCGGCTGTCCTGACAAGCTAGTTTATTAGACGATCCTTTCCCCACTGCACTGAAATGCCATGCTCATAACGCTCTAAAATTCCACCCACCTGCGGCTGTTTCTGGACTTGCCGTCTGACTCCACTAACCGACTTCCGTTTGTTGTTGCGTCAGCCCTACGTGGCTTTATTGAGTTGGTTTGAGGTTTGCTTTGCTGTCATTCTCACTGCAAACATACCTGGCTACTTCTGAGCACAGCCAGTTTCCAGTGACCCAGCTGAGCTGTGGACACTGTCAGAGACCCGCAGGGCCGGGCCGGGCCTGGCCGGCGGGGAGCGTGGGCTTCAGGAATCCATTTCTGTTGCTGCTTTTAAAAACGTAGGTCCCAAATGCCTCTCGGGTTCGTTGTCAAAGGCCCATCCCAAGAGTCCCTGGCGTAGAGCGCGGTCTCTCAGGGTGACCATCCAGCTGCTGCAGGTGTGTCCAAGACTCAGTTGTGACGCTACATGCCCATTCCCAGTGTACACGCGACCCCAGGGACCTCCCTCGCCAACCTTTCAACCCAGAGCGAGGTGATGTGCTCCCCACCCCGGGGATGGTCTGGGCCGGGCTCAGCGGCCAGAATGTCACACCCTGGGTTTTCCTTGAAATGACAGGTGGCAGGAGAAGGAATGGAAGGAAGGCGATTAGGAAGGCCACTCAAGGTGGATGCCAGTCTGCGTTTCCCACTGGGAAGGCCGCCGTGGCTTGGTGAGACTGAGTATGCCACAGAGGGTCCCCCACCGCCAGTAAGTGGGGACTCCGACCCAGGCTCCTCTGATGCTAAAAACACAACCTCCGGCACCTGGCATGCTCCCAGCACCTGGCACGCGCCAAGCAGTGGCCTAAGCGGGGTGAACCTCTGACGTTCCCGCCACGCAGGCGAGGCGGCCCTGCGGGCGTCCTGGGGCTGCTGCAAGGAAGCTCCCCAAACGGGGGGCTTAGAGCAACAGAAACACCCCCTCTCACAGGACTCGGGCCGGTACGGGGCCGCGCTCCCTCCGGGGGCTCTGGGGAGGGGCCTTCCTCGCCTCCTCCGCTCCTGGGCCTCCAGCTGCTCCCAGTCTGCGGCCGCCGTGCTCCCGTCTCCGCCTCCGCCTTCACGCGGCCTCTGTGTCCGCACCTTCCCGTCCGTCTCCCGCAAGGGCGCTGGGTGGTGGACTGAGGACCCGCCCGGATGATCGAGCGTGACCTCGCCTTGAGATCCTCGCTCACGTCTGCAGAGACCCCTTTTCAAAACGAGGTCGCATTCGCAGGTCCCCGTTCAATCCGCACAGCGCCGGGGCGTGGAGTGGGCGCGCGGCTCGTGCCAGGCGCGGCCCGTGAGGCGGACACGCCGTGCCCCGGTCCCGACTCTTCATCCCCCAGCGCCGCTGCCCCTTCCTTCCTTCCTTCCCAGGGCGCGGGCTTCTGCGTGGAGAGAGCCCAGACATGCCGCTGCCCCTCCGTGCACGGAGGTCCAGGGGGCGCGGTGGCTCCCCCACGATGGGCTGAGCTCAGGGCCCGCAGGGTGGAAGTCCTCGCAGGCCGAGGGGCAGGTCAGGGGGCCAGTGTAGGGGCGTGGGGTTTCTGGGGGCCCTCCCGGAGCGGGCAGGGGGAGGAGGGCACGGCTCAGGCCTAGCACGTGACAAACTTCCACCCTTTCCTCCTAAAACTCTGCTCCATCTACATCTGAGACCGATTTGCTTGAAATCACAGGCTACCTGTCACCTTGCTCCCTGGCACCCGGTCAGGTGTTCGCGCAGAGAAGCGCCGACAGCCAACACCTCTCGGCGCCGTGACAGTTGGACGCGTCACTCTGCATCTTGAGGAAGAGGCGGCTTTAAGCGAACGAGCGTCCCCAGCTCGGGGCGAGGCCTCCCTGCCGGCCTGGCGTCCACGCGGGCGCGGCGGCCTCTCCCAGGGCGCGGCAGAGCCCCGGCACGCACAGCCTCCTTGATGCCGCGCTAAATTCAACGCCAGTGCGGCCGCAGCGCGCGCCGTCTCGGCCTGCGGTTTATGCGGCACGTTGAGGCCCAGGTGTGTGTCTGTTTGGGAACCGGGTCACCCGGCACCTACGATCGGAGGGCACGCCTCTGGAACAAACGATCGCACGCACACCCCCGCCACCCCGGAGGGCTGGGGGGCGTCTCTCTGGGGGCCGCGCTCCAGGGGAGACCCCGGCGCACGCAGAACAGCACACGTCTTGGCCTCCTGACCTCAAGTGGGCAAGGAGAGTGGGTCTTCCTCCCTTCTCGGGAGGGGAGGAAGGGACTCAGCGACTTTACGCTGAAGCGGCTGCCCACGGGCCATCCACGCCACTGCACTCCCCGCGGCCGCGGGCTCCTGCGCTGGCAGCCGGGGCGGGCGCGTCCGCAGGAAGGAACAGCAGCGGGGCGCAAGGCCGCCATCCCAGAAGAGGGTCAGGCCCGCATGGCCCGGGGTTTCGTGTCTTTCCCGGTGGAAAGAGCTTTGCTTTCACAAGCGGCATCGAGGGGAGGAGAGACGCTGCCTTCTCGCTCCTTCAGACGCAACTCGAACACATCTCGGAGCCGTGGGCTCGCCGCCCCAGGGTCTGGACCCCCGCCGTTTTTCTGACACCTCGTCAGCTTCGGGGGCTCCTGACCCCTCCGACCTGGCCCTGGCCCGTGTCGGATGGCATCTCCGAGTCTGCGCTCCTGCCGCTCCCCGGCGTTGTGATGCCAGCACTCGGGGCCGTGTGAACCCCCCTCCCGGTGTGCTGCCAGCGGCCAGGGCTCCCCAAGGCGGCCGTGGACCAGGACGGGACCCGCTAGCCCACCTTCCTTTCCACGAGAGGAAACCCGCACAGACTGGGGCCTCCGACTGCTCACGGCCCCCTCGGGCCGGCCTGTCTGGCCCGGCAGAGCCGGGGACCAGCTGGGGCTGCAGAGCCCGGGCGGCACGCAGCGCTGGGCCCAGCTCCCACCGCCGGGGCTGCGTCGCGACACCTGCCCGCCTCCGTTCTTGACGGAAATGGCTGCAAGGACCACGGCGGCAGTGACGGCCGGGACCTGCCAGAACGCTACGTTAAAAAACCAACTCTTCTCCCCCCGTCTCCCGGGGTTTTTTCTCCAAGCGGGTGCGAAGTCCCACGTTTCTCCTTGGCCTCCACAGCAGCCATTCAGCACCCACCTCGGGTTGTTTTAAATCGTAAAAACCTCAATGAGGGAAAACAGAGGTCTCCGAGTCGCTTGGGGAGACGGCCCCGCACCAACCCCAAGGTTCTGCGCCTGTTTGGGGCACGTGCTTCTGTGGGCCTTCTCGAAACCGGCTTAAACGCCGCTGCCTCTATTCCATGAACGGCTTTTCCCGGGAAAAGTGGTCCAAAGGGTGGCTCAGCAGGGGGCTATTTGAGCGCAAAGTCTCAGGGTTTGGAAACAGCAAGACTCCTGGGAAAAGAACGTTTTGGCAACCCCTGAACAGGCTGGGCTTGTGTGAAGTGGAGGGTGGGCTTCCCACGCGGACCCTGGGTCTGAACACCTGCACCGCAGCCCTCTTCCCCGCCTACTCCCCGCAGGGCCTACTCCTACCCGACACGTCTCCACCGAGGCAGCCCCTCAACAACCCACTTCCGCCGCCGGGTGGGGGGTGCTGGCGGAGGCCACCTGGGAGGGGGAGGGGGCCGGGGCAATTGTGACTACGTGACTGTGAGCTCACGTTACTGCTCAGTCTCCAGGGTGGCCTTTGGAGAAAGGGGCCCTGTGGCAGGCAGGGTGCCTCCGCTTTGCCTTCCCGGGCGCCGTCCGCATCAGGCCAACTGCCTGCGCCGAGCGGTGCGGGAGCCCAGCACGCTGCCCCTCCGGGGAGAGGAAGGTCCTGCGAGACCCCCCTGCACCAGCGGAGTCCTGAGCATCCGGCAGGCGGAGGGGCCAGGCCTCGCACCTTACCCGGTGACATCTGCGTGGCCCTAAAAAGGTCACCGCGTGCTTCGGGGAAGTGGAGGTCTGCGCCTTCCTGAAAGCCCCAGGTGAGCAGGGCTGGCAAACGGGCAGGTGTGAGCAAGGACACAGGTGTGCTTGGTGCCCTGGGGCTCATGCCAGTGACTTAAACTCCGACTTGTTTCACTAATGTTTTCCCAGTGACAAGGACACTTCCCAGGAGGGGTCCCAGACCTGCAGAGGGACTTCTCTGGGGGTGGGAGTGGGGGCCTCTGGTTTCCAGCCAGTGCAGCAAGCAAGAGGTTGGGGCCTCACGCCGAGAATGCTGCCCGTCCTCTCTGGGGTTCACTGGCAGTTTCTTGGGGATCAAAGCAGCAAGTGAAAGCACAGAGGAAGCGCCTCTGGGAGCCGCCAGGCCCAGCGAGCACACGCTCCCGCCGCAGGGGGCCCGGCGCGCGGGGGGCCCTCGTCCCCGCAGGGGGAGAAAGAGGACGTTTCGGCAGTGACAGCATTGTGCACTTTCACGCTGGCTTTTACCTGGCAGGACCTCAAAGCTCCGTGGGACTGTTCCTGCAAAGAAACACCCACGGGCAGAGACGCAGACTGGAGGAGACCACTTAGCCACGAAGGCTCCCGCCCGACGGGGACCGCGGGCAGCCTCCCGACCCTGGGGACCCACGCCAGGCACAGATGCGCTCCGTGTCAGGTTAGAAAGTGGGCGGTGAGAGCACAGTGACAGTCCCCGCCTTGCTCTGAAGAAGCCACTCGCAGTCACCGGCGTGGAGCACTTTCCCTGGGAGGACCACCCCCTCGGGGCTCCGCTGCGTGCCCCATGCCTGCGCCCACGTCACCTGCCAGAAGTCTCACATGAGCAGCAACTTCTCCTGCAGTCACGGCAATCACAATATGCAAAGCAGTTGCTCCTGCACAAAATCACATTGCGGTCTTAACGTTGGGACGCTTGTACTTTCCCAGGTGGAGTCTTTTTTTTTTGTCGATCAGTGTCTCACTCTGATTGCCGGGCCTAGAGTGCCGTGGCGTCAACCTTAGCTCACCAGCAATCCTCAAACTCTGGCTTTGAGCAATCCTTCCTGCCTCAGCTCGTAGCCGGACTAAGGCATGCACCATCCTGCCTGGCTAATTTTTAATTTTATTATATAATTTTTAGTTGGTAATTAATTTTTCAATTTTTTGAGTGAGACGGGGTCCTCGCTCACTTGCTCCAGGGCTTGGTCCTCCGAACTCCTGACCAGCAATCCTCCCGCTCGCTCCAGAGTGCTGGATTACAGGCGTGACCACTCGCCCAGCAGGGTTTTCTAAATAAGTCAACAAATCAACCTGGAAGCACACACACTGCTTGTGTTCACGGTCCAAACAGAAATGACGTGCAATGAGAAGACTTAACAAAAACCCTCAAGTGTGTGCACGCGTGGCGTTTTGCAAAAACACTAGGGTGCAGGTGAGGATTGTGCATGCGTGGTGCTGCGCGTACACTGGGGTGCAGGTGAGCGTGTGCACGCGTGGTGTTGCGTGTACACTGGGGTGGGGGTGAGCATGTGCACGCCTGGTGTTGCATGTACAATGGGGTGCGGGTGGTTCGACCTGCCTCAGAAACAAGGAGAGGAGACGTCCCGCCTTCTCCCGGGGTTGGAACCACACGCCCCGCACAGAGCCCGCGTGCACACGCTCCTCAGGCCGCCTCGGGGTGGGCAGGGCCGCTCCAGGCTGGCCAGCTCCGTTCCGCACGCCCGGCCACGGCGAGGACGGGTTCCCGAGAGGCCGACCACGGCACGTCCTCGAACCGGGCCGCGCTTACCACCCTCCCCGCACCGCGTGGCGCTTCGAGGGCCCAGAACACGCAGCTCGAGCACCGGCATTGCGCAGGCGGGTTTTAAGGCTCCCAGCAACGCCGGCACCACCCTGTACGGATCCGTCTTAATTACTGCCCGTGCGGAATTTTTTCCTGGTGGCTTTTTTTTTTTCCAATGGGGGAAAAAAAACATTAATGAGAAACTTTAAAGGCTCGCTAACAGCGCCCTTTCATCAGTCAGAGGCGTGTCAGGCCGGGCTCTGCCGTCAATTTTCACCTCGCCGCCCACACCCACTTCCCACGTTCCCATCCCCCGCCCGCCGGCCCTGCGGCCGCCCGGGTGACGGAGGCCAGACGCCCCCCGTCTGTCAGCAGCCGGAGCCACGGGGTCCCGGGACGCCGCACGGTGCCCTCGTACCTGCAGTTTCTCCACCATCCCAGCCCTCCAGACGGATGGACGGACAGACGGACGGGGCTGCCGGGCAGAGGCCCTGGTCCCCTTTAAATCTCAGCGCCTCTCAAGCTGATAAGTAAAATCGACGTGGACTTCAGCTTCTTAAACGCAGACTTTTAATCAAATGCTCAGGGACAAGGGGGAAGCCCCCACACGGCCCGAGGGGAGGCCAATCTCGCCCCCCGGCCGCAGGAAAGGCGGCTGGGGGCTGCAGGCAAGGGCAGCTTCCCAACGGGTCTTTTGGGAAAATGTTTTCAGTAAAATAGAAGGGTTTTCTTCCTCTTGCGTCCTACGTTAAGCCCATTTATCACTTCAGAGTCCTCTGTGCTGCCCGAAATCCTAACTGCACCAAGATCTCTGGCAAGCTCTGCAGTGGCACGGCGACTTTCGCCTCAGTTCAGTGGCATCCTGCCCGGCCCAGTGGGGCAAGGTCTGAGCTGGCAGCGCCGCCCACGGTTGCAGCGAGGGCGTGCCAACGTCAAGCCGGGGCCCTGGGCCGCCGGGCGGGAGAGCGAGCGCCCCCGCAGTGCCGCCGTGCCCGAGGGGCAGGCCGGGGGCTGCGTGGGACCTGCGGACGCCTCTCTGGAGGAGGGACCCTCCCGGCACTGCGCGACTCTCCGAGTGGCTCCCTGGAGGTGGGCCCCGCCCCGGGGCTCCTGCCGGACCACGCCACGTTCTGGGTTTCACGCAATCTGCACACAAAGGTTTTATTCTTACTCCGCGGCTTCCTGTCAGAGAGTTTCTGGGGCCGACGCTGTTGCCCACAAACGGTTTAAGAAGCAAAGTCTGTGGTCTCAACACAAACGCGTCTACACCGGACACGCTCGGCCCTCCACACAGAGGGTTCTGGGTCACCGCGCAGCACCCAGGGAGCATGGGCCACCGGGGAAGAGGTGTGCCCAGGAAGACACAAGTCACAAGGACGATTTTGATTGCTAGCAGATCATCAAGCCGCCCCACCCGCGGGCTGGCCAGCAAGCGGTTTGTACTGGGTGAGACGTGTGTGTGTGTGTGTGTGTGTGGATTAAAGATCCCTACCGCACACAGAGCTGGCCCACTTCCTCCGAAATACCCGCTGCCTGGAACCTCTGCACCCAGAGCTGTAAGTTAACGATCCCACCCAGGGCTACGACTCCACGTGCAAGAGCCCTTGCGGACTTCCAGACTCAGCACTGCCAGCACCGCGACGCCCACGTTTCCACGGTCGTTTCTCTTCCTTGGGCCTGAAGAAGTTTCACCAGTCCTCGTGGCCACAGGACGAACTGAGCGTGGGTGGGTTTACCCAACACTTTCGCACCTAACGGGGACGACAGACTGGGAGAAAAATACGCCCACCCCTCCTAAAACTCAGTCTCCCACACGGCCAACGGCACTGCTTGGTTTTAAGTACGGTTCTGCAAAAACAAGTATGTCTGGATCTTTCCTTCTCTCAGCCTCTGGAAACGGGAGCAGCAGGGCTGGGACGAGCGGCTGCAAGGAGCCAGTGGCCGCGGCACCGCGGGTCTCCGCGTCAGCCTCAAAGCACCGCGGTGCTGGACACGGAAACCCGACAGGTGAGGCGGACCCGGGGCCAAGGCCGGAGAACACAGCCTTTCTTGTCTCGACATTTCTTTTTATTTGGAAAACATTTTTGTATTTCTTTGTGCCTTCCCGTTCCCTTTATTTTCCTAAGCTGCGCTGCGACTCGGAGCGGAGCGGCTCCAGGCGACCCGCGTGCCGGCTTTTCATGTCGGCTCTGTAGAGCTTGTCCTTGCAGCGGTACACGGCCACGCTGGTCTGAGCCCTGCTGCTGCCTCCGTCAGAGAGAACCCCGGGGCATCGAGCAGCCCTGCTACGACGGCCGAGGGAACCCTCGGAGACAGCAGAGCGCGGCTTTGGTTCTGCACCAAGGGCACGGCCCAGACAGGCCCGAGCACGGTCCCAGGCTGCGTGAGACTGGGTCACCATGGCTGCCTTTGATGGGGCGGGTCCCCTGGCCGCTGACCCGTGCTGGGGGCTCAGCCGTCGCTGGATGCAGTTGTGCGGGTGCTCTCTCACAGCCTGGCCCCGCTGGGGAACTCGGAGATGACCCTGGGAGGCTGTCGTCCTTCATGGGCCCAGTAGGGAGGACGGCCTGCGTGCAGACCACGTGCACGGGCCACGTGCGGGTGCAGGGGCGGCGTGCACAGCCCCGAGCTGTCAGAGTCCCCCTGGCCGCTCACGTTCAAGTCCATGCTGAAGCAGGGGAGGTGGCGGGGGTCTCGCAAACAGCGCAGGGCACGGCGCTAGTGCCCTCTGTTGGAAAGCGCCCGCACACAGCGCAGCCCAGCAAGCCCGGAGCTGCTGCCATTGCGAACCCCACCCCTGCCTTTCCGGTCTGCTGCGGCAGAGCCACAGCGTAATGTCACCGGTGACCACCAACCTCCTGCACGGAAGAACGCAGGGCATGGCCCGAGGCAGCGTGCATCCAGCTCTTCCCACCACCCGGCTCCCAGTGACATCAAACACGCAGAAACGGTCCCCTCGGCCCTCAGAGCCAGAAAACCAGAAATGACCAGAACCAGCCCCGTGGCCGGAGCGCAGTGGCTTAGTGTGCGCCCAGCACAGAGGGGCTCACAGGGAGTGGGGCGGCCGGGCTCTGTCCTGAACAGCAGACCCCCGTGGGGGCCACCGTGCGTGACTCACCGGGCTTCCAAGGTACCCAGAACGAAGATAACGGAGGAGGGACAGGCGTATCGCTTTACGTTCTGGGGAAAAGATCCAGAATTCGGCTGGTGTAAGAAAAGGATGCACTCAATATAACGCACCGAGACGAGCTTGAGGTCTGTTTTCGTCAGGCACCTGCCCTTCTGCGGGGGGTCACGGGAAATGTGCATCCAAACCGCACAGGTGACAACAAGGCTGTATCTTTCTCCAGGTCTCGGTGACCTGCGCGAGCCATGCCAGCTTCCCTGCTGTGGCTCACACTCACGAGGAGCCCTGGATAAAACGCGCTATCCGCGGCAGGGCTGGGTACGGCTCGCTTTCTCCATCTATCAAGTGCTCCGTTTTATTTATCCGTACGCACAGCTGCAGGTCTCCCTTCCGCTTTTTGGATCGAGTTGATTATACAGCTGGAACGACAGCACGGGTAGCAAAGTCTCGGACCGTGGCGTTCGGCAAACGCCGGAAACCCTCCCCTCTGCCGTCAGCAACGGGAGCTGTCGGCAGCGACCCCTGACTTCCAGGATGGACCCTGGGAGGTCGGGGCCCTCACGGGCCACGGGTCCTGAGGTCCCTTTGTCACCCCAAAGGCTTCTAGGAGGAGAGGCAGGAGAGGCCTCCCTCTGCCCAGGGCACCACGGCAAGGAGCGGCAAGAGGGGCTGAGACCCAAGGTGATACGGGAGCACCCAGGCGGGTGGCTGGTGCAACCAACCCACGCCAGAGAGCTATTTCTCTTTCCAGATCGTCAGGGCAAAGGGTCAATTTCCACTCGGTTCATACAGACCGTAAATGGACGCACCCTGCGTTAGATTTCCGGCAGCTGGGAAAATGGAGCCACAAAACCTCTACTAACCATCTACTTCCACGGCCTGTCCTCTGTCCTTCAGCAGGCCCGGAGTGTGGTACAGTGACCACTATGACTTGGGCAGCAGGAACAGCCAGGAAGCAAGGGCATCGCAGGACCCTGCTGGGGTGAGGACCTTCCCGGTGTGGACAGACACAGGTGCAGCCCGGGACAGCCAGGAGCCAGTTCTGGGGACGCCTGCGGCAGCCAGCTGTTGTCACTGGGGCACCAGACGCCACCCCCGTCTTCCCTACTCTTGCCCCTGTTTTAAAAGACATTGGAAATGAAAGAGCAGCGCCAAAGAAGGGAACAAATGACACACATGGCATCTGGGCCTCTTAGTTTATTCTGTTGTAAGACACAGAAACGAGAGGGCCAGCACACTGGGTCCCACCTGGTCACACCTGCCTCTTTCACTATGGTCCCCCCTCCCCCCCCATTCCCATGCAGGTGGGGTTTACCCGCCACTGGAGTGCTCACTCCCCCTGCGCTCAACTCCGGCCAGTGCCCTGGGCGCCGGCGCTGTCCCCCGAGGCCCCGAGCCAAGCCCTGGCCGTGCCCGAGCTGCCTCCCCGGGTTGGCTTCCCTGCCTGGCCAGATCGGCCGCCTTCATGAGCCAGAAGCCACTCCTTCACGGCCACGCCTCCTCCAGAGTAGTTGCCCAGGGCTCCGCTGCTGCAGACCACGCGGTGGCAGGGGACCAGGATGGGGACCTGAAAAACAGGGGGCGGCCACAGTCAGTCCAGGCGGGCTCTGGGCCCTGAGGCCTAAGGCCACACAGTGACAGGTGTCGCGCCCCAAGTAGGGCTCACGCCGGGTGGGCTGCTGGTGGCACCAGGGGTGGGGCACTGCTGGCTCTGCCTGGGCGTCAACACCCAGGCCTCGAGTCCCTGGGGCTCTTGGCACCGGCCAGTGGAAAGGACTCGTGTCCCCAGGTGGACACAGGCACCTTCCTCGGGATGAATCCCTCTTAGGCCAAGGTTTGGGAGGAGCAGACAATTTTAAGTTCCGGGTGGTACGCGACATTCTCGAACGTTGCCCAGACAACAGGAAGCTTCCAAGGCAGCGGCACCGCACAGGCCACCGCGTGGGCCCCGGCAGCCCGCCCGTCTGCACGCACAATGCCACCGGAGCACAGCCACGCCACTCGCTGCTCACCGTCCGTGGCCCCAGAGAGTTCCGAGTGGAGGGGGCCTGCTGCTCACTGGACTCTGCAGCCCCGAGGGCAGGGCTCTGGTCGCAGCCCCCGTGGGCCTCCCACGGCCCCGGCCCCTCATTTTCCCAGCCTGGAGCCGGCACGGCGCGGACCACGGCTGACACTGCAGGTCCACGACCGGATGCCAAGCACTCACAGGGGCTGAATGTGACGGAGCGTCACAACCAAGCGACCTGCTTATTGTTCCTGCTGCCACACACAGGCACACGGTCCTGCCTAGTGGTGTCTTTGTGGCCAGTCCCACCAGGAGAAGGGAAGTCTGTTCTTTCCAGAGGGACGGGCGCCTTCTCCAGCAGGGGTTCCCGGGGAGACCTCCCGCCCTGGTCCCGTTGCTGCTGTTGCTGCCGCCCGGCAGGGGAGGCAGGAGGAGCCCCAGGTCCACCGTCCGGATGATGTTCTGACAGCCACTCGTGGTGGCTGGGGGCACCTGCCGTTGCCCTTGCCTTTGGTGTCCGCATGGAAGGACATGGCTGGCCTCACCTACCCTTACCCCACGATGGGGGGACCAGTCACTGCCCATGATGTGGGAGGAAGGGACGGGCACACCCAGTTCGGCACCTTTTGGGTTTCTGCAGGTGACTCGGCCGCACCGGGGTGTGAGGCTCCTGGACGGCCCCAGGAGACGGTCACCCTCGTGCTGGTCAGGGAGCCCTGACCTCTGACTCCAGCAAGAACCACCGGGAAGCTGCCCGGCCACCCCCCACCCCCCAGTCTTGCTTTTATCCTCATGAAGCTAAAATCTCATGAAGCTAAAATCTCAATGCCCTCCACCCATTTCTCGGTTGGCTCAGGGCACAGGTGGAAGTCAGGGACGAACGTACGGAAGTCACCTCTCTACCTCACTCCCCGGGCAGCCAGAGGAAATACTTCAGAGCACGCCAGGGACGGCCACATGCCCGGGGGCCACCAAACTCAAGGTACACCCTGTGTGCCCACTGCAGGGGACTCTGGGTGCCCCATGGACACGTGCCCAAGGATCCCAACAAGCAGCTACCGTGAAGAGTCACGCCGGGACCATTTCCCAAGAGGGGTGTGTGGGGACATCTCGGCACAGTCCCACCCTTCCTACGAAAGAACTGGCCTGGGAGTCCCCAGGGCACCAGCCTTCTTCCTAGCAGCTCATGGTGACCCGGGAGAAGGGTGTGGGTGGTCAGCCACCGAGGGCCTGGGACACATCTCATCACCGCGCAGTTTCACCACGGCTACTCCATAAAGAACGTAGACTATCAACACGCATGACGACAGGAGCTGGTGCTAGCTGGAGAAGGGGGAGGGCACTGGGCTTGCTCCAGAAGGTTCTCAGCTGCCACAACATGGGGAAGGCCAGGGAGGTGTCCAGGGACCACTTGCTGACGGCCCCTGTCCATCCTGCAGCTGCTCGAGAGCCGGCCTACTCGCCCCTGCACCCCAGACGCCCCGCATGCGGATCCCGCAGACCCAGGCCCTCCTTGGCACTCACACGGCTGCCCGGGGCCACGTGTTGGGCCAGAAAACATAGCCGTTCCTGCAGGACCCTGGGGGTGAGGAGTGCCCAGGTGCCCCCCACAGCTCAACAGAGAGAAGAAGATCTCCAGCCCACTCGCCCCCCAGCCCCACCCTCCAAAGCAAGTGAACTGGGAGAAGCGGCCTCCAGGGAGGTCCGGTTCGGTTCTAGAGGAAGCAGCCAGGCTCTCGCACCTGCGCCTTCAAGCTCGGGTACCATCAGGCCCCTCTACTTCCTGGAGTGGCAAAGGCAGGCCTGCTGTCACCGCTGTGCACACCCACCACAGACTCCATCTGCCCGTGTGCCCTTCTCTGGGGCCTGGCCACCTGCGTCCCAGAGCGGAGAGGAGCGACCACCAAGCCCTGCCCACCGCGGAGAACTCGACCTTCTCGGAAGGAGCAGCAAAAAACAGTCTGCAGAGCGGGATGCCTGCCCTCCCTGATGACTGTTATCGAGTAGTCACATTAATGACTGTAGCAAGGACAACAGGTAACATGCGATTCATATTTTTGACCGATGAAGCGGTATTTAATTCAATCTAGCTTTACAAGCACTCAGCCGCCGATTCGGTTTTCCTGCCCGACAGCACATCTCACAGCCGAGCTTTGACTCTGCTTTCCCCCCCGCTCTCAACGAGCTGCGAAATTATAAAGACGAGTAAAACAAACGTCTCCTCTCCTCCTCTCCAAATACAAATGCGGAGGCCAGGACAGGTGGCGCAGGACGACAGTGACCCCGACGGCCACCGCCGGCCTCTGTCCCACTCGAGCCGTGGGGGGGGACAGGTGAACGGGTCGCCTACCAATCTCGGGTGCTGCTTCCGCCGTCGGGAACAAGAACGCTGCTTCCACTCGGGCTAATTTAGGCGGCGGGTTTCAGGCTATCAGAAGAATAAGACCTGCTAAAATTAATGGGAGCCCCAAGGACATTTTCGAAGGCTCCGTACCCCCTCTGTGCCCTTCTCCTTTAAAGCCTGCGCTGCATAAAATGTAATTTTTATCAATAACCAAGAAGCTCGTAATATCACAGCTGCATTGAGATCTTCATGCTGTGAAATCTAATTCTTCCAATACACGAATCCATCACTTAACGCAGCCCCTTTCTCAAATGCTATAAAACTTCCAAACCCATAGATTTGTCTCCAACAAAAACAACATGAAGGGCCCTTTCAATCGATAACGGAATCCCTCTGATGCTGGTACCCGCTGAATATTTTTTTCCAACTCCGCCTTTGTTCTTCGGGGCAGCAGCCCACAAGGGAAAGGGCTTGTTTTCACTCGCAGCCTCATCAATACCTAAATCCTGGTGAACAAGTGACACCGAGAAGCTGTAATCAATAGCTCCCTGTGCGTTTTTTTCTTCTGGTCAAATGGTTCAGCTCCACTGACAACCCTGACACTTAGAACATGATGCTAAATCTTTATCAACAGCCATCTGGGTGACTGGCAGAACAAGACTCGGGGGTCATTAGCGCTCACGGCCATGTGTGAATAAACTCACTCCTCAGGAATGCGTTTGTTTAGAAGAAGGTGGGGAGGCTCTCTGTGCAACGTATTGATTGCCTTTGAACTGCATTTAGCAAATTCTGTCTGAGGATGAAGAGGAAGGGTGTTTTGAGGGGGGGGAGTCCTGTGAGATTTCAACTCTATGCATGGGGAAAGTGACCATCCTCTCATGCTGGGTGCAGGGGAGGAGAGCCTTCCAGAAGGCTGCCCGGCCACCGCACATGGGCTCCCGAGTCCTCCCTGGAAAACAAACTTCGGAGAAATCGAGCTCCTCGGATGGAGGAAACTTCCACGTGGCAAAAATCATCCCCTGCCCAGGCTGGGGAAGAGAGACTCACGCCAACAGCAAACGCTGTACTACGGACCAGCGTGTGTTCACGTTTATTGTGAGCCACCTAAGGCATTAATGCACGATGCGCCTTAGGGTGCTTTCTAACATTCCAGATCCGTTTTTCACTCTCCTCTCTTGAACGCACAATCGCTCTATTCACAGTCTGAACGTAAGGGATGTCTCCAGTGAGCAAGTCTCAACGACACACCGGCGGGGCCGAGCCGCTGCTGTCAGCACCAACGGGAAACACACACTGAGGACATGGATGGCAGCCACGGCCTGTCACTGAGCAGGGGCCCTTCCTCCCTCAAGTCCCAGGGTCACCTTTTGATCCTCCAAGCCCAACGAGTGAGGTTTTCGATGGGAACCTGTCGGGAACCTGCCCACCTAAGCCAGAGTGAACCACGCAGGCGAAGACGTTTTCCCGCAGGAGCATCTCTGGCAGGGCTGTGCTGGCGCTGGAGGCATCTCCACGGTCCCGCAGCTGCCGGCACTGCCGTGACCTTCTGCTCGAGTTCAAGGTCACTGCATGCACTGAAGCCCGCAAAAAGGCCACGGCCAAGGACTCACCACTACCTGGCTTCCCTTGGCACAGGAGTGACGCAAGACCTGGTGCCCGTACAGTGCCTTCTTGTCCGATGCCGTGGGCGCCTCTGGTCTGGGCTGTGGCTCATGACGGGGGTGTGGACATGTGGACTTTATGGACATTAGAGTTGCAAACCCTACAGGGTCCTATTTTATAAATCTCAGTGGCTGAGGCCACCTTGGAACAGAGACACTCATAGAGATTAATAGCAGGAGGAGAGAGCCAGCCTGGTTTGCAGAACAATAAATGTTTCTGGATATGGCCAGGAGCAAGGCTGCTAACCAGCGACGGCATCCCCGCTGCAGAGAGTGAGCGGCTGCTCGCGTTACTGACCCGCACGCGTCAGTCAGTGGAGATGCGAGTTGCACACGCCGAGGAAGCGGGCGGCTGGGCGCCCACTGGCGGGCCGCCTCCGTCTTGGTCTCCCAGTGCTCACGGAGGGCATCGGCCCAAACCTCGGTGGGGAGGAGGCCGGCTAACCGTACCCAACGGGCACGGAGAGAGGGAACCCTGCCCGACACGGTGGCCGCAGTGCCTCGGGAGGAGGGAGCCGAAGAACGTCAGCATGCAACGTCCTCAAGGGACGGTAAACGGGGCTGTGGCCCGGCGGCTGCCCTTTTTCATCTAGAGCAAAGCTGAACCCCTCGGCACCGAGTCACGACCCGGGAGGAGACGGAGACGGCGGCCTTCCAAAGGGAAGGCGCAGATTAAGCTTCGTTGGGAAATGTCGAAAAACCATCTTCAGAAACTTGCTCGGAGCATCCCACGTGCGCCGTGAAAAGGAGAGCCGCGGCGTGCGCAGGGTGTTTTCCGGGGATGCAGCCGAGCGCTCTGCAGTGAACACGCAGCAGGTGCAGAAGGAAATGTCCCTGCACCCACCCGCTGTCGCGCTGAAACAAAGGGCATGCAGGGCGGGCGCGTCGGCTGTCCCCTCATCCCACTCCTGGCACGTAGGGGCATCTGAACATGGTGGAAACCTCCCAGATGAGGGTGTGCGCTACGACAATCCCATCCACTACAGGCCCACAGCAGCTGCTTGTAAAGAACAACGCAGTTTTGTGCAAAAGGCCATTGCCTAGGGACAGGGGGCTGCCACCCGAGCAGGAGTGCAGGCCGCCTGGGAAATGCCTGCTTCTCCCTTGCAAGTGGGGACAAAAACAGCTCTGGAAATACACAAAAAAAACCACTGCAATTTTTCAGAAAGTGGGGTGATCACTTTCTGTGTGATGGGATGATCATATTTGCTCTCCCTGATGGATGAGACAGCTGTCGTATAGTTTTAGGGAGAGGCCATTGCTAATATGACAGCACACCCGCGCTGGGCCCTGGGCGGGTAACGAGACCAGGAACATTCCGGGGACACTCTTGAGGCGGTTTGGACCGCCCCAGGGGGACTTGCGGGCTGGGTGACCCTCCCGCCCACTGGCAGGGTCCCCAGGCACGCATGGCCCCGGCCCGGCCCACAGCACATGCCACAGCCGACTCCCTTCCTCATGCTGGGCGGCACAGGGCCCCAGGCACCCTGGCCGCGCAGCCGGCCCCACGCCTCAGCCCAGCCCCGTCTTCCAGGGAGCAAAGCCCGTGGCTCCTCGAGGTCCAGGAGCCTGCAGCTTGGCAAACGCCGAATACAGACACACGGGCGGGGAGGACAGGGACACAGAAGGGCCCTGGGGGAGGGCACCAGCCCTGCTGAGGTGTGGCCCGGGTGGCACACTGTCCCAGGCTGCAAGGACCCACACCTGGTGTGCCCATGTGTCCCGTTTTAACCCTGGAGACCCAGGGCAGCCCAGGCCTCACTGACCAAGTGCAGCTCCAGGGAAGGGGGCTGGATTCGCACCTTTCACAGTCAGGCCCCCTACACCCTGCGTGGGCAGGCCCTGCGTGGTCTTGTTTGCTGCTGGACCCCGGGCACCACCGCGGAGAGCCCTGGCCACGCAGTGGGCTGCGGAGTGAGCGAGTGAACGGAGGCCACCTACCTGCCCGCCTCTTCTTCAGGCTGCCCCATCTGATGCTCACTGTGACAAGGGGCTCGTGTCGTGACTCGAACCCAGAGGTGGCGGTGGCGTGTGGTGCATGGGTAGGTCCTGGCACCATGGCCCCGGCACAGACGTTTCCCCTCGTCCCTGCCCGGCCGCCCGGGAAACACATTCAGGCAAAGGCACCCGGCCCCCCTGGTGCGCGAGGCCCCCACCGGCCGCCAGGACTCACAGGATTACTCCTCATGGCTCCTCCCACGGCCCGGGCTGCTTTGGGGTTGCCTGCCAGGGCTGCTAACTGCTGGTAAGAAACCGTTTCTCCGAATTTCACAACCTTCAGCAGTTTCCGTAACACCTGTCTGGTGAAGGAGTCTGAAAGGAAGGAGGCAGAATGACGTTAGTTGGACGCATGGCTCCGACAGCTCTGGTGTAACTAGCCCCCCAGCCCCGACACGGAAAACGCATCCACACAAATAGGGTGCTACGCTCAACTGAAACCCGGCCCCCACCCCGCCGCCCTGTCGCCGTGCCGCCAGGCAAGGCACAAGGCGTGCAAGGTGGGGCGCAGGCAGGCTGGCCCCTTGGGAGACACCCCAACTCCCTCTCCCCCACGTCCACGCAGGGCCGCGTGGGACGCCCTTCCGGGATCCGGGCACGGCAAGTCAGCGCACGGCCCGGTTCACTGGCACGGGAGTCGCTGCCTGCCTCCCGACGTGGGAACCCTTTGCCTGGCTGGTTGCTTTCCAACTTTAGCTGGGACAGAGGAGGACACGGCAGCCGTGATGGGCCAGGTGGCACGACCGCGCTAGCTGTCCGCACCCCGCAGCGCCGGGCACCCCCTAGCCGCTGCCTAGGACGCCAAGCCCCGCGGCACGCAGGGGCTGCCGGGGAGCTTGGCTACAGGCAGCTCTGATGAACGGGACTGCAAAAGTAAAATAACTTTACTCCCTTTTTAATCAACGGACCACAACGAACCGCATTTGCCCTGCATCCTGCCGCAGGAAGGAACAGGCGGACGCAAGAGAACGTTCTCTGCTTCTAGGTCCGAAAGCCGCGTCCCCAGGATGGAGCGTGTGGAGAGAAGCCCAGGCACGCGGGAGGCGGCTAGTCCCAATCGATACCTATTGTCTCTGCAAGGGGCAGAGGAGCACCCCCGGCTCAGGAGCACTGGAGACGGAGCCGACGGTCTTGTCACAGGGCCCCAGCCCTCCGGGGGACGGGTTACTGAGTGGCCACATAAAGGGAAGGGCTCCACGGGCAGGACCGCGTTCCTCATTACCGATCGGTGCCGGGCTGGCAAAGTGCGGTCGGGCTCTTAAAGGAAACACACCCTTACGTGTGTGTTAAATAGTAAAAATCACTTCTTAACTGAAGGGAACGATAATCACTTCACTGGGAGAGGGGAAGAAAAAAAAACCTGTTTAGTCTTTATTATAACATTAAGCAAATTAAACATCAGCATAATCCAGGTGATACTAGAAAAGGGTCATCAAAGAAATTAACTTTGTTGTTCATTAATTTACATGGATTAGTCGAGGGCAGAAAGATAGCAAATGTGCTCTAGTTTTTTATGATATAATTTCAAACTGTACACCATTTGTGGCAGGAGGGTGACTTTGGGGTTAATCAGACTGATTTGTCCTTTTAATTGCTTTCTATTCAAAGAAAATTCATTAGATAATGTTCTCTTCAAAATTCATGAATCAATTTAACTGAAGAAACCACATTAGCAGCTTTGGGTTCATTAGCACATGCAGTTGTGTTACCGGCTGATTGCTGGGGGGTTCCCTGTGCAAACACACTCTGTTTACTGTCATTTCTTCAGAAAGCGTTTTTGAAACCAAACTGTTAATCATTACTGTTGTTGTTGTTGTGCCTGACTTCAAAAAAAAGCAGAGAAAAGCGAGGGAGATTTCAGGGGCAGCTGTCTTGGAAAAGGAATGGTGAAAGCAGCCCGTGGGTACCGCAAGAAAGAGGCCGGTCCCCTGCCTTCCTGGGAGAGCACACAGAGTTGGCGGCTTTGCTTTCCGCGCTTTGACCCGGGAAGAAGATGCTGCCCAGGTTTTCTGGGAGAATGGCCTGGAACTTTAACTAAACCTGCAGGGAAAAAAAAAAAAAAGAGGGAGGTGGGTGCGTGCAAACTCTACCGGAGCTCGGAGCAGTTCCGAGAAACAATGGCACGGTGCCAACCCGCGTCTGGGCGCCAGGCTCGAGTGCCGCGCTGACAGATGACTGCCAAATTACGGAGCACCTTCCTCTCCAACTGTACAAGTATCGTATAATAAAACAATTACACGTCCGTATATGAGCACAGAGTTTATCAGACATGTCCAGCGTCACTGTCGGTTTTTCACGGGGACCAGCCCTTAACCGGCACGCCCCAGGCCAGGTGGCAGGAAGCACAGCTCAAAGGATGCCACATTTAGCGATCGAGTACATCGTCTTACAGATGTATCTGAAAAACTCAATTCCACCCTGCAGGGAGCAAATGCATTAATTAGTCAAAGACAGTGCGCCTTTAATCCTAACCTGCACAAAGTCAGGTGGCTGAACTTCACCCATTTTTGGGGAGGGGCCAACAACTTTTAAGTATAACATTCTAAAATGGGAGCCAAATCCTCTCATAAAAATGCACACAGGTGGATGTGGAAAATATAATTTCTTGAGGTCGAGGAGACGATGTCAAGTCCTCGGCGGCTGGCCTGATAATTTCACGAGGCCCAAAGGGACAACCATTAAAACACCATCCTTCTCTCTCACCCCGGTCCTCCCCACAGGGCAAGCCCCAGACCCCGGCAGCTCTGTGAAGCCGCCTCCGAACGCCACATTCTGGATGTTTCTTTCCTTTGCTTCCCTCCTGCTCTCGTTTCCTCTCCAAACTCATCCCTCTTCCTGTCTGATGTGGGGTCCCGCGCACGCCGCGCCGTGTTTACGTGCCCAGGGTGAAGGAAGGGACGCTCCGCTACAGGCTGACCTGCTTCATACAGTTCCCTCATCCTGCAGACACGGGGCGTGGCAGCTCTCACTTTGGGTGGCTGCTTAAATCCACCCGCCGTGACAAATCTGACCGGCAGAAGACGGCTTTCCAAATTCCCTCTTTGCCTGGATTGTATGTCTTCAACCCGGAGGCTGGATGCCACTTTCTCATGTTGGCCCCAGAAGAAGTTTTGGGTCACGGACATCAGGTTTTCATGCAAGCTCTTTGCATGCCACGTCACGGGAGCGGGGATCAGGGCTCTAAGCAGGGCTGACTCGCGTGCTTGGACCAAGTCCAGCAAGCCCAGCTCTGATGGGGAAGATGCCACACACCAGGAGCCCGGCGGGAGGGACACAGAAGGGACCACCCTGGCTGAGCTGGGACGAGTTGCTTCCTTCTCTCCTGGGCCTCGGTCTCCCCCCATGATAAATATCGTCTTAAGAGCAACCCTGACAAACACGTCTGTGCCCCACTGCACCTGTCCAGGCCCGGCTCAGCTGGTGGAAGGCAGGGCTGGAAGCCGGCTGTCTCTGAGGTCAGGACTTAGACTCAAGACCAAGAGCCTCTTCCCCCGTGAGGCAGAGCCCTGCACTTGTGAGTTCTTGGAAAAGAGTCTCTTTCCTTACTCCACCACAGCCCCCTGGGCGGTCACCCTTGTCCAGGGCTGTGGTTTCCCGAGGCGGGGCCTGCCTTCAGCAGCCCAGGCCTTGGGGCTCTTCCTTGGCCAGGCTGCAGCTGGGGGGCACACGCCGGCCCAGGTGCGCCCTGCAGGGCCGTGCCTGCCTGAAAGCATCACAGTGGTGGTGCCTGGCCGCGGACTCAGCCTGCGGAATCCATGGCAACAGAGAGCACTGCCCAGCTCCTGGCACGTGCCCTGATGGAGCAACAAGTGCCTGGAAGGGGGTCCCCGGGAGCTGGCGTCCACAGCACGTATTAGAGCTGTTTGACCTCATGTTGCACGGCCATCAACAGTAGCCAGAAGAAACGTCTTTGAGGAATGACCCCGAAACACTGAGACGGTGGGAAACGGGGGCTCCAGTTCCAGGTAAAATGGAGCAGGCACACTGTCTTCTGGATTCTCCCACTGGGCACCTGTACAAAAACCCGGGCAGAGGGCGCAGAGCAGCCAGGCGAGGGCTGAGAGGAGTGGGCAGCATCAGGCAGAGCGGGGAGGATGCCGGGCATCGGGAATACTGCCGGAACCATAAATGCGCTTGTCATCTCCCCTCCTCGTCCCCGGCCTGGACGTACCACAGCCTGAGCCCTGCAGGTGTCCCTGGCACAGACGGAGCATGCCAGGGGCTCCACTCCACCTCCAGGAGGAAAGCACTTCTCCTCCTGGGCGCTTTGAGTGTGTCCCCCAAAACTTCACTTAATTCCGTTGTAACAGTAGTACCAGGTGTTTAGGCCACGAGGGCTCTGCTCTCACGAATGGATTGATCTGTTATATTGGAGGTTAGTTATCAAGGGACTTTGGCCTTCCTTTTCTCTCTGTGCTCTATACTCGGTTGCCACGTGACAGCTTCTGCCAGGGGATGACCCTCGCCAGACGCCAGTGTTTCGTGCTTGGACTTCTCAGCCCCAACCGTGAGCCAAATAAACATCTGTTCTTTATTTGACCCCCGGTTTGCGGTATCCTGTTATAAATGTAGCAGAATATGGAGTAAGGCACCATGCTCAGGGAGAGTGGGGCATCACCCCTTTTTGGTATCATCTCTGAACTCCTGCACCTTATCCCCTCCCTAAACAATCCTGTGGTGGTGTGGTCTGGTAACGGGGCCACAGGAGCCTAAACTTTTTGGGAGGAGACGGCCCCTTCCTGATGGGAGGAGGCATGATCCTCCCAAGATGTGGGAACTGCCCCCCCCCCATTCCTTTTTTTCCTTTCCTGTGTTTCTGCCCTCTGGCTGCAGATCAAGGTGCAGCCACAGGAAGTGTATACTACAGAGGGGTAAATAGAGACCTAGGTATCTGTCCAGGAGACTGACTGAAAAGGGAGCCCTGAGAGCTTATGAGTACCAGGGAGATTGTGGAGAAAGAGGAGTTTGTGAAAGCAAGCCCAGGAGCTTATACATCCCTGGATGCACCTGTCCATGTGAGCTATCCACTTACCCATCTGTACACATGTGGATCTGAGCCCAAACCAAAGACTCTGAGAGTAAGAGTCAGGTACTGCCAGGTCTCATAGCAGCTGCTGAGTGATCAATGAAAGGACTGATCTGAAAAGGCTTTGAAAATGGAACAAACATTAAAATCACCACTCACAGAAGACAGATCAGAACTTATGGACTAAATACAACCAGGTTGACTGCCTTCTCCTAGAATAAAAATATCAACATTATCCATAGGATTTATATAAGAACCAGAGTCTCATAATATTCAAAATACTTGGGAG